TGGATCTGCCTGATAGTTGTTGCATCTGGTCCACTTTTAATCATCATATCATGGAACACTTTGTCAAAAGCTTTTCTGAAGTCAAGTTATATTATGTCCACAGCATTTCTGCATTCACCAGTGGGACTACCTAATCAAAAATTGACAACAGATTAGGCTGGCAGGACTTGTTCCTGACAAATCCATGTTGGCTTTTAGGTAGTCACTGCATTGTTTTCAAGGTGTTTGCAGACTGTCTGCTCCAGAATTTTCCCAGAGATTAATGTAAGACTTCCTGTTCTATAGTCCACAAGTTCTCCCCCCCCCCCCACCATAGGATCCTAATGATAGGAACAGCATTAGCCCTGCTGCAGTCACTTGGCACCACTTCTGTCATCTATTGTTATATGAAGGTAACAGGCTGTAGTTCTGAGGGTTCTAGGAGATTTGAAATTGTTCAAAATAATTTTTCCTTGCCCAATTGCCTTTCAATCTCAAATGGCAATCTTCACCTTTGGCAGGGAAATAATGTACCGTCTTTTGGGAGAAGTCTGAGCTAGAGTAGGAGTTGAACATGTCTGCCTTTTCTTTGTCATCTGTTCTTATTTTGCAGTCATTGAATAGGTGGATCACTCTTCTATCTTTTACTGCACACATATCTGAAAAAGGCTTTTCATTGCCTTTAGGATCCCTTGCTCTGCTCTGCTCGGCTCGGCTTTAGCCTTCCCAACATCATCCCTGCAGTTCCATGCTATCTGCCTAACCTCTTCATTTGTAACTTGGCTTGCCTTCCATTTCATGTACATGTCCTTTGTTTTCTGGTCATATATAAGCTTTTTGTGAAGCCACATTGCCCTTTTCTGTTGTCTTCTACCTTTTTTTTGGTTGGAATGTTAGTATTTGTAACCCATCTTGGTCTCCATTTTCATTAGACTTGTTTGCCACAGGACCTTACTTTTTCTTGTTGTGAGTCTAAAATTGGCTCTCCTAAGATCCAGAGTAGTTGTTTGGATACACTTGGTCTTTGCTTTCTTTAAAATCAAGAATTCAAGCATGATATAGTCATTTTTCCCCAGAGTTCCTGTAACTGTCACTTTATCCACTAGGTCATTTCTGTTGGTGAAAATCAAGTCAAAGGTAGCCAATCCTTTTCTTCCTTCCTCCACTTAGGAAACAGGAAGTGATCAGCAATTAAATACTTTAAATACTTAACATATTGTTTTAATTTTCTCTCTTAAACTAACAATTAAGACAACTCTACAGGAAACTAACACAAAATATTGGGAAAAATGGACATTTGCATCTGTAACAGAAAAAAGGCAGATATTTGTATAACTTAAAATTAATTGAAGGTGGAGGAGGTCTCACAGGCTTTTGTTGTGGAAACTGGAACAAGATGCCATTTTCATTTTTATTTGGGGCAAGATATAGAGTGACAAAGATTTAATCCAGGGTCACTGCAGTCAACTTCAGTGGCTAAGGGGAATATGCTCCATGTCTACATGTTGTTTTTTGATGTCTGAGCCAGAGGCTACCAATTAACTGCTCTGCATAAAGGGTTAATTGTGGGCAGCTTTGTTTACTGTTATGTCATGAGAGAAATCTAAGTTCATGCAAGTTCTAAGTTTGTTTCATTTATAGCCCTCCATCAGGAACAGTGCTCAAGTCAGCTAACAGTGAAAGCCAATTGAAAGCATAGCAATAAAAAAAACACCAGATACAGCTTATATGTCAAAGGTCTGCTTAATTTTTTTTTAAAAAAGCCCTTGTGAAAAGACAGCTGCGAGGGAGGAAATTTATCATCTTTTGGCAGGGCATTTCAAAGTTTGAGAATAGCCATCAAGAAAGTCCTCTCCACTGAATATGTCTCTGATGATAGTGGTACTGAGAAAAAGTGTCCACTGCTGATTTTAAAAACTGAACAGGCTTCTATGAGAAAACGCTGTCTTTTAGGTAGCCTCATATAAAGTTTTTCAGATCATAACCAGCATTTTGAATTTTGGCCAGAAACTGACTAGAAGCCAGTGTAGTTGTTTTAAGAAAGTAGTCACATACTCTGTGTAACTGCCCCATGTTAACAGTCTTGCCACAGCATTCTAAAGTTCTGGTTGTCACACCTAGAAAAGGATACTGTAGGCTTGGAAAAAGTACAGAAAAGGGCACCTGAAGGGGTTGGAGCAACTTCCCTATGGGGAAAGGTTACAAGAGTTTAGAAAAAAGAGAAAGTGGATAGACAAACGTTTTTTACTTCCGTAATACTGGAACCTGAAGTCATCCCATGAAGTTAAGTGGTGAGAGATTAAGAAGAAATAAAAGCAAATACATCTTCATGCAATGCATAGTTAAACTGTGGAATTCACTTCCATGATAGTAGTGATGGCCACCAATTTAAAATCTCCCTTTAAAAGGGGATTAGATAAATTCATGGAGGAAAGGCTATATACCATGTCCATTATAGAAGTAGCATGTCTCTGTTTACTAGCTGCTGAGGAACTAGCTGATTTGGTGTTGCTCTTCTTACATTCAAATAAGTCATCTGTGGTTTGTGGTGGTCAGCCCAGGGATAGGTTCAGCACTTTCACCAGGCCAGTGTCAATCATGTAAAATATTCTCTAGCTTTCTCTGTGTTATCTTATCAGAACTTAAAAAGAGCAACATGGTTATCGTTCGTGACACCAGATTGAACTAGGCTGAATTATTTTATCTGTGACATTATCAAGCTGTCTCGTTTTTGATCTCTTAATGGTATTGCAACAAATCCTGTATGTATAATGGCATTAGTTCATTAATCTTACTACTGAGTTGGAATTATTTTTCCTCTTGCTAGCAAAACTGTTAAAATACTTTTAATAGTCAGACCGTAATGAATATTGTATTGAAAATGTGTGTGTGTGTGTGTGTGTGTGTATGTGTATATATATTTGCAGGCTGTACTAAAAAGATAGAGATGACACTGATTGTCATTCTTATAAATTGATTTCAGTCTAGCCTAGTTTTGGAAGTGGCACTGCATTGGATAGCCTGTGGGGTGATCTTGACAAGGAAGGGAGAGTGTGACAGTCAATTCACTTATGGTTTTCTTAGACCTTTGGGTGGTTTTCATAGCCAGTGGGCTATGATAGCCTTCTGGATAGGCTGCCTTTGCCATGGTTCTGCTTCTTCTTCAATGATACTGAAAAATTATGTTCAACCCCTGTAAATTGTGTTCCTGTAGGGTTCCTTTCATTCCTCATGCAGTTAAATATATTTTCTGTTTAAAGAATTTTATATTCTTTTCCATTCCAGGAAATAGTTGCTCCACATGATTTACAAAGTATACTTCAAAACAGGAATAGAAAATGATTAAAATAGCAAAACTTAGTGAAAAAAGACAAAACGATGTATAAATTAAGCAACAAAATACTAAAAGGGAAGTGTGTTCAGTTTCCATAATACAGGTAAAGAGGAAGATGACTTAACCTCTTAGTTGCAAATTCTGTATGTGCTTTACAGATCCTCATCCATCTTCTTTGCTTATTGAAGCAATGCAACTGACAGAGTTCTCATTCTTCCTTGCAGGCTGGTATGATGCAGATTCACATATACAATATTCCTGTGTGCTTTGAGGACTTAACAGAATCATATTCCCCCATCAGAAAATTTCTGCCCATGGAATCCCCTATCGCCCATGCACAGTGAAGAATCATATTGATAATGACTTAATTTATATTGTTAATTTATATCGCTTTATTGAATTCTATTCATTTATGGTTTGTGAGCCGACCCGAGGCTTCTGCGAATGGGGCAACATAGAAGTCCCCTAAATAAATAAATATGTATGTACAGGTTGTATAATTCCTAGTACTTTGTTTTTAAGGATTTCTAGAAAATAAGTGTTGCTCATTTGAAAAAGAATGTTGTCATGGGACCTTTGTTAAACTTGCAGCTTTGTGTGGTAAAATTAGAGTTTGCTAAACTAAAGCTTCCTAATATGCGGTGCAGCCGCCACTCATGACATTTCCATAAAAGGAGCTGATACCTAGAAAAGGTTTATTTAACTGTACAATTATAGTTTATGTTTGCGTGTGAAGCAGTCCAAGAGTGATGGGCTATATTCTCATTGTAATTATGTAAATGAGAAACCAGGATTGTGGTCCTTATTGCAAGTGTATATTGTATGTGGCACAGAAGTTGTTTGTGCAGCAATAGACAAGGACAGTCATGTATATTCTGTTATGAAATATTTAAATATAGAATAGAGATCACATTGGGTGACTTATAAAACTCCCACCTCCTTGATTTTTTTTGGTGTGGGGTGTGTGTGTTTAAATAAAAGCAGACTGCAGCTACCATCTGCTTCGTACAATAGAACTGTGTTTCAGAAGTACAGATAGCTAAAACTTCATAAAGTGACCTTTCAAATATTTTAACTTTTTGCATCCCTTTTGATAAGTGGATCCCTTTAATTGTCCTAATATCTAAGTTTGTGCATTGTTCTCAGGTTAATGTGTAAGACTCATTTCTTAGGGATGGAGGCAGGAATATTTTTATGCATGTTGAAATTATATTTCTGTTGAGAGTGGTGCTGGTGATGATTATGATGCTGATGATGCATCTTTTCCATGTTTGGTGTGATGTGCATTGCAATTTAACTAGAATGATACATAAATAGTTAAAGTATAATAATTTCATAGCTCATTAATATTCTGATTATTTTTGCTTTTAAAATGGACACCTCCAGAGTTTTAGAGAGAGAACATGTGTTATCAAAAAACAGAAGGTGAATTGGAGTTAGATAATTAGATAAATGTCTGTTTTCAGATTTAAACTGAATCAGCCAGGATGTTCAGCTGACTAGTCTAAGTTGTATTGGAAAAGCATCTACAGAATTTTAAAGATTTAAAATTCTTCTAATTTTTTAAATGCAACTTATTGATAGGAATGACTAGGAATCAGGTAGCTTACACACACACACACACACACACACACACACATATATATATATATAATTTTGGCTAAGATTATCATTTTTCCTTTCCTAGAATGTTGGCTTTGAAAGCTCAGGGAAGAACTAGCAGGGAGAAGAACATAACCCAGTGGTAAGTATGACTCTTGAGTTATCTAAAAATGCATATGTCATGCTGGGTTTTGAAGTACTGGAATAGTCACAAGAACTTTTGGTGGAAAATCAGAAGTTATGGATATTTTTTAATAAACGGAATTTTACAGAATTATTCACCCCCTTTGATTTTTCCAATTTGCTGTATTGAAAAATTGAAACTTGGAATTGAAAAGGGTTTAATTGTCATTGTTACCATATGCTATACATTGTGAAGATACTGTAGCATAGAAGTTAAGTAAGCAAAAACAAACTTCCATTTGTTGGTATTATAAGTGTTCACTCTTCTGAGTCAATACTTGGTAGAAGCACCTTTGGCAGCAATTACAGATGCAAGTCTCCTTGGGTCTGTCAGCTTTGCATATCTGGATTGTGTAGTGTTTCTATTTTTGGCTAAAACTGCTCCAGCTCTGCCAGGTTGGATGGGAACTGTTGGTGAACAGCAGCTTTCAAGTCTTGCTACTGATTTTCAGTCAGACTGAGTTCTGAGCCATGACTGGACCACTCTAAGACATTCGGGTTCTTGTCTTCACTGATACTTTGTTTAGGATGGCACCCCGCTGGAAGGTGAATTCCTGTCCCCATCCCAAGTTCCTTGCAGACGGAAACAGGGTTTTTCTACCTAGAATTGTCTTGTACCCTTCCTGCCCTCCTTCCTGACCAGTTTCCCAGTCTGACCCAACGAAGAACATTCCCATAGCATAATGCTGCCACTATTGTACTTCACTATCAGGGGAGGTTTCTTCAAGTCATTGCGCACTGCTGGCTTTGTACCACACCTAGTATTTTATAGCAAGGCCATAAAGTTCAGTTTTAATTTCATCGGAGCTAGAACCTTTTTCTACATGTTTGCTCTGCCTCCCACATGCCTTTTTGCAAACTCCAAATGAACTTTGTTATGGGTTTGTTTCACCAATGGCTGTCTCTTTCCACTAGTTTCGTGGAGCATCTGTGTGATAGTTGTCTCATGGGCATAGTCTCCCATTTTAGCTGTAGATCCCTCCAGCTCCTTCAAAGTTATCATTTGTCTCTTACTGGCTTCTTTGACTAATTCCTTCCTTACCTGGCCATATTCTTTCCATTTTGCAATAATGGATTTAGTAATGGAGTATTCATAGTTTGGGATTTTTTTTACAACCCAACCCTGACTGGTGCTTCTGTACAACTTCATCTTGGAGCTGTTCAATAGCTTCTTGGTCTTCTATCCAACATATGCTATCCAACAAACTCTGGGGTCTTCCAAAAACAAGGGTATGTAATCTGACATCATATGGTACAGGAATTGCATGCAGGTAGTCTCCATTCAACTGCTTACACTGACTTCTGGAGGTAGTGGTTTGCACCAAAACTTATTTATGTATGTCACAGCAGAACAGGGATGAATAGTTTGTTTTTGTCTATTTAACAAGTGCCAATTTGTTTTTGTCTATTTAATGGTTGTGCCACCATATATTTTACACCTTCAGCATGTTGAGTATCTTGTGTGTACCACCTGGCAACAATACCAGTCAAATTCATTTCAGTTCCAGATTGTAGCAGGTAAATATGTGGAAAAGTCAAAGGGGAAGGGAGGCACTGTATATATGCCTACCAAATGTGCTTGTTAGCAATATTTGCTTCTCATTTGAATAAATTCCAGTGTAATTTACTAGAAGAATACAAAAACTACACAGTGGTATCATATTATATTTTTCATCAACATAGCTCATGGCTGAGAGAAAACCAAATTTTACAGATATGTTTCCAACAAACATTCGAAACATACCAGCAGAGAGGCCTGTCATACCACAGAACAGAGATCATTCCACAGGGAAGGCACACTACTGCAAAGAAGACACATCTCCTTGTTGTAACCATGACACGGGCAGCAAGTCCTTCAGTGAAGATCACAGTGGCACAGAAAGTTCGTATAGGAAGAGACCTTCCTTGAGGGGAACTGGTCCTGGGATTGACATTGGCAGACTGATTTGCAGCGCACTCACAATTGTGCAAAGGAGTGCATCAGGATACCCCATGGTGTTGAACATCTGATAAAGGGGATATGGAGCAATGAGTTTTCAGTATCCAACCCTCTGGCAGTTATGCTGAAGGGCCCCTATGCTGTTTAACGTCTGTGTGTATATGTGTATGCACATGCAAGAAGCCATTAGAAGCAGTCGTTAACATAGGTGGAACAAAATGGTCATCCATATGCTGACATTCAGCTATGTTTCTCTGTTACATTTTAACTAGGTGTGTACTAGGATACAATAGTGAGCTAGGTAAGAGGCAATGAACTAAGGTTGGATAATGACCAGCTTAGTAGACAAGTTGCTTCCAGGTCCAAGAGGCAGTTAGACTTTGTGTTCCAGATGAGATCGCACTTCCTCTGAAGAGTTAGCTGAGTGATCTGGGCATATTTTTGGATCTATCTTTGACACTAGAGGCACAAGTAGTCTCAATGACTCAGTGTCTTTTATCAGCTTTGGCTAATAAAAGGCATTCTTGGACAAGGATAGCTTGGCCGCATTTGTTCAAACATTGATAATCTAAAAGTTGGTTTATTACAATTCATTTTGAATGGATGCCCTTAAGCTTGGTCCGGAAGTTCCAGCTCGGAATGACCTATCTGCAGCATACTATACCTGTGCTGTAGAAACTGCACTGGCTGCCTGTTTGCTACTGTGCCAGGTTTAAGGTTTTGTTGGTTGTAATGTTAAGCCCTAAACAACTTGGAATCTAGTTATATTCTCCTTTATAGATCCATTTGATCCTTGAGGCATCTGTTGAGGCCCTTGTGGTAGTGCTGTATATTTTTGAAGTCTGCTCCACTGTTGTTCAGAGTATGGCATTTAGGATAGTGGCACCCGCTATAAATTTTCCCTTAAATTAGACATATGCAACACTTTTTATTTTTAAACAGATTGTAAAGACCTATTTATGCAAGCCTTTGATTTTACATAGATACAATCAATACTATGAATTTGTCCTTATTTTATGCTTTGTGCACACAGCTTTACTTTAAAATCTTCAGATTAAGTGGTTTATGAATACTTGTAAATCCTCCCCCTAAAATTAAGGGAGGACTTTTTCAAGACTGGTTGTATCACTGTCTTGAGGGTAGCAGGGACTGCTCCCTCATTCAGTGATATAGCCACAATTCCCTGGACATACCCAATCATTCTCTAGCTTGAATGCCTCATGATGTGTAGGGGCTTAGTGTGAGGGCCGGGTCGTGGGTGGCAGCAAGGAGGGGCAGAATGCCAGGTCCAGGGCACAAACTCGAGCTGAGTCCAGAGCTCACTGTGGGCCAGAGGCTTGGGGCAAGTCAGTTAGTCCGGGTTGAAGGCACAGATGAAAGCAGTTCAAGTTTGGCACACACAGAGAGAGAGGGAGAGTCAGAGCACAGTCCAGAAACTATCCAGTGGTCTGATGCCAGTAAGACAATAATGTAAGGGCAGTCCCAACATGAGTGGACTGGAGCAAGCAAAAACACACAGGAACAGGGCAAGGGGAGATAGGGTATGCAGGATCAAACACGAGCAAGGCAGGAACAGGCTGGAGCAAGCCAGCAACTAACCAGAGCAAGGCAGGAGCCAGAACACAAGAAGTCACCAAGATCACTTGCATTGCTATGGCAAGGAGAATCAGTGCAGGGAAGCCTTTTATGCTGGTCTTCAGGGTCTCCAGCTGCACTGCATAATTGCTCCACAGGTGCTCCTTGCAAGTGCCAGCAAAGGTGCTCCTCCTTCTGCGAGCACTTGCAGAGTTATTCAGGCTCTGATCCTGACACTGAGAAGTCCTATAATGGCTTGAACTTCTACAAGCATCTTGGAGATGCCATCAAGAAAACTAATTAGGAAATGAGTAAGGGATATAATTAATGTTGCTATATTTTTGTAATTCAAATTTAAACAGTACTTTTAAAAACAAAGTTAAATCCTCAGTACTATAAATCAACACATATCAGAGGAGGAAGATAAGCTGAGCTAGATGCTAAAGACAGGAAGCTAATTTTCACATAGCTCTAGGAATTCCAGCTGAATGTACCTAAATTTAATGCTAGCATCAACTTAGTATTAAATACAACACGATCCTTGCCTGCCACTTCTAAGAAGTCCTCTGCCCAAGTTTCAACACTTGAAAACGTAATTGTTTTCTTGCACAAGATAAATATTTGGCTATCACTTTCACAAACATTGGTATGGCATGATTTTCCATGTCGATGAGAGATTAGAATTGTTAAGAGTAGAGAATCTCAAGGCTGTGGCAACAGATACATTGCTACAAAATGGGGACCACTGGCTCAACCTACTGCAAAGGAAAAAGAACTTGGGGTTGTTGTAGATTAAAAGCACAACATAAACCAACAGTGTTATGCATCTGCAAAAAAGGCAAATGCTGTTTTGGGCTGCATTAACAGAAATATCACTTCCAAAACGAGTGAAGTACTGGTTCTCCTATACTCGGCACTAATCAGACCTCACCTGGAGTACTCTATCCAGTTCTGGGCATCCAAGTTTTAAAAAGATGCAAATAAGCTTGAAAGGGAACAGAGGATGGCAAGAAAGATGATTCAGGGACTGGAGGTAAAGCCCCTTCAGGAAAGATTGAGAGAACTGGGCATGTTCAATCTGAAGAATTGAAGACTGGGGCAGGATATGATAGTACTCTACCAGTACCTGAAAGGCTGTCACAAAGGAGGAGAACAAGATTTCTTCTCATTCATTCCAGAGTGTAGGACATGGAATAACAGACTTAAGCTAAAGGAAACCAGATTTAGACTAGATACCAGGAAGAATTTCCTCACTGCCAGAGCAGTATGACAGTGGAACCTATTACCTAGGGAAGTTGTGTCTCCCTCACTAGAGACATTCAGAAAGCATCTGGCAGTAATCTGAGTGGGATGGTGTAACTTAGTGTCCTGCAATAGCAGGAGGTTGAACCTAATGGCCTTCTGGCCCCTTCCAACTCTTACTATTCTATGATTGTATGATTGTTCATAATGTGTTGCTACCTTCACCTTTTCTTTACAGAAAAAGTACAGCATCTTAAAGAGGCTACTTCATCTGCTCCTGAATAGTTTAACCCTGAAAAATGTATGCATATGATCTGAAATGACTATGTGTATACTGGGAATTTGAGCAGTACATACTCTGTCCCTTAAAAACATTTTACATACTTGATAGAATATATGGCACAATTTTTATGACTTCCTAATTCTCTTGTTGTTTTTAATGACCTTTTAAAAATTTGCTCTTTCCATGACAGTGCCTGAAAATGACAACAAAACGAAACTTGTTTGTGCGGTTGGTGCCATGCCGCTGTTTGCGTGGAGAAGAAGAAACTGTCACAGCACTCGATTATTCTCACTGCAGCCTGGAGCAGGTGCCTAAGGAGATTTTTACTTTTGAAAAGACATTGGAAGAACTCTATTTAGATGCTAATCAAATTGAAGAGCTTCCAAAGGTGTGTAGTATTCCAATATTGTATGTGTGTAAGAGAGCATGAGAAACACCCATATATGTCTGTTTGCAAAGCTACTAGATGGAACTAATAATTCGTTTTTATAATTCCCAGCCTGCATAGCTGAATGAAGGAATGCTATGAGCTGTTGGGCATACATAGGATTGGGCACTGAAATATCCTTGTAATGTTTAATGTTATATCTTAACCTAGGAGTGCTGATGGGTCTTTAAAGGATATCACATCTGCATGTAAGCCATTGTTAATGCTGACTAGGTTTCTTACATTAACATTTTGAAGCAGGCTTGCAAACCATTGGGTAAGAGGTAACCTGGCTGATATTTATCAGGATTGGCATTGGTACTGATATTATGCTTAAGCCATGGTTAAGTTGGTATGGGAAGAGGCTGGGGGATCCCAATCTCTATGCCACCAATTAAATGCCTAGGATAGAGGGTGCCAACAGCTTTTCGCCACCTCACTGAAAAACATATTTGGAGCGAACTATGACAAAAATTGAATCCTTTAAATAAAACAACCGGATTAGCATTACAGTAAACTAGCCACAAGTAGGTTCTTGTGTCATCTGAATGTTCACTGCTTGCCACAGGGTGGCTTATCTTTTGGCAAACTACCTTGACACCCCATTGTTTGTTATAGGGCTGTTTAGTCCATGATGGGTTGTTGTGTCATCCGAATCCATTAAATCAATTTCATAATGAGTCACAGGATAAGGTAGAGAGCTGTTCAGCAAGAGTGAAAATTGTTCAGATGCTCACCCTTGCTGCTGCCAGTAACACCCATCCACTGTTGGCCAAGTGGCACTTCGAAGCAACTGTCATTGGTTTGCCAGTCTTTTAAATAGTACTTTTGGCAGCAGAAAACTGCACAATATGTTCATAATTTTCTTTTTTGTCTGTCTTTCTCAAGTGTACAAATGCATTTTTAAATGTGTAGTCTTACCTGATCAGTTTTCTTGTATATTTTAGCTCTCAGGGGGAGACACAAAATCCAGTGGACAGCTCTGAACAGGCAAAATTGCATATAAGCTAACTTGTGTGCAGTTTCCAGGGTCCAGTTGCCAAATTGGCAAAAGAAAACCACTGAAAAAAGGGTGGTAGTGCAGCAATAGTAGTTGTATTGGAAAAGAGTGGGGAACATTTCCCGCTTAGTGGTATAATCCTTTCCATTTTAAGTGCTGAACTGGCATTTGTCAGTGTCCTCAACTGTGTCAAGGTTCCCCTACGTTTCCAACTAGTCCAGAAGGAGAGAGATTGCTTTGCAGCTCTTTTTCAAAGAACTTGGGGCTACACTTATAGTGGCTGTCTGACAGCTCCAAACAAGCAAACTGATAAGGCAGCAAAATGAGATGGCATGAATGGTGCTCCATAGGAGGGTGGCTGTAAGCAGTGCTTCTGTCCCATTTGTGTTGTCTGGTTCTGCTGTCTGTGAAATTTAAAAAAAAAAAACCTGTTGGGGGCTATTTGTGCAATTTCTTGGAAAGGCTACACAATTTTAATGGCTGGAAAGTAAATAGAAGAAAAATTTCTGCATCTGCAATTATTGCTGAGTTACTGCAGGTTTGAAAATTTGCCCTCCATTGTTAGAAATGTTAGTGAACTACAGTAATCAAAGCAGTAAGTGCTTCAAAAAGGATCTGTGGAAAGTAGTGGCAGCGGGGGAATTAAGAAGTGTCCCTTGAAATCAAGAGGATTACATTAGTAGGTGGGAGATATTGTTCCTTACCTTCTGGTGCACCTATTTACACTTTTTTAACATGTTTCAATTGAACATTTATTTATTCACTTATTTAACAAGTTTTATAATCCATGCACAGCTAATGAACTTTCAGAATGGTTTACAACATAAAAACACAGGAAATATACAATACAATTTAAAACATCAGTATAGGCAGCAGGAGCCATACACAGGGACCCTTCCAACATAATCCATCATTTCCTCATCATCTCCAATAAATAAAAGACATTGACTAAATACAATATTAAGAAATGATAATAAATGTATAAGAATAACTATAATAAAGTATAATAAACAAAAATGATAACACAAGCAAAATAATACTAGTAACAGCTATGGTCATACTATAATCAAAAGAACAACTATCACCATAGTTCAAAAATACCAAAAATACCAGTTGTTCAAAAATAGCAAAAATAGCAAAAAAAGACCAAAAATAACAAATACCTAAATAAAAATGGATAAATCAATAATTAATTATCAACAGTTGAAATATAGGGAAAATAAAAAGATTTTGGTCTGGCCCCAAAAATGTTGGCACCAGGCACAGCTCCCTGAGGAGCTGATTCCAGACTTAAGGTACAACAGCAAAAAAGATCCTCCCCCTCGTAGCTTACCTAATTTCCTGCGGAGTCAGCACCTGGAGAAGGATCTCCATAGCTGACCATAGGGACTGGACAGGCACATATGCATGGAGGCATTCCTTAAGATAACCAGCCCTAAGCCGTTTGGCAATAGAACCCTGGCAACTGTGGGCAAATCAGCCTATAGTCGGTGTCGCCTTGTTAATTTGCATGCATGTTACCTATTCCATTTCAAGGCTTCTCCTAACAGCTGGACATTTAAGGAAATTGACAAAGCAAGACTACACAGATGAGACAGATGATGATGATGATGATGATGATTTCAAAAACAACTGGAGTGGTATAGCAATGAAATAACAAAAACAAACTATGGTGCTGTTTTGGGGCCTGTAAACATACTTATGCATTTTTGAAGTTCTTCAAGAAAATAATCATTGAATGAAAGGGGGTAGCAATTGGGAGACAAGCTAAATCTGTAACAGCAATTCTGGCCCATTTGTGTTGGTTGCATTTATGTGTCTGAGGACAATTCAAGGTGCTGGTTTTATCCTATAAAGCCCTACACAGCTTGGAACCACAATACCTGAAGGAACACTTCCCCTGACCTCAATCTACCTGGGCCTCACAATTTTCATCTAGGCCTTCCTCTGGTTGCCAAATTCCAAGGGAGGCCTGGAAAGAAACCTTCTCAGTGGTGGGCCCCAGTTATGGAATGATCTGCCCACTGAGACCTGCCTAATGCCAGCATTGCCATCTTTTTGGCTTCAGGTTAAAACTGCCTTCTATTCCCAGGCATTTTATGGCATTTAATGGTGCATGGTAGGTTTGTCAGCTGTTTTATTGAGGTCTACTTTTATTGAAATGGTTTTAGGTATTTAATCTGGTTACATTTTTGTATATTGGAGTGTTAAACTGTTTTAAATTACATATTGGAATTCTATGCTGTGTTTTATGGGAATTGTTGCCTCTGGAGATAGGTTGTACTGTGCTAATGCCATAGCAACAAACAGAGGAAGTGTGGTTGTGATGGGGAAAATGTGCAGTTCCCTGCTTCACTGTCTATGTCAGGAGCTTTATTTTGTTTCATGGGAGGACTAGCCCTTCTCCTGGTGATTTACGTGCTATTAGCTGTTCTTGTGCTAGGCATGATATACAGCTACCGTATTTTTCACTCTATAAGATGCACCTGACCGTGTGCCGGCGGTGGTCTTCCGGGCGGTGCGGTGGCAGCAGGTCTTCCCAGGCGGTGGGGGTGAGCAGTCTGTCTCTCCGTGCGGCCGGCGGGTTAAAACCCACGGCTCCTTCTCCTCCGTACCTCTCCCCCTGAGTGGCACAGCTCTCACCTGCGCCGGGGGACGGGTGGGGCAGCGCATGCCGAGCGCGTGCCGGCCAGGTGGTGCCACGTGGTGCAGGTGGGCCGGCAGCGTCCCGCGCATTGGGCATACACACATTCGCTCTATAAGATGCACAGACATTTCCCCTTACTTTTGAGGGGGGGAAAGTGCGTCGTATAGAGCGAAAAATACGGTATTTCATTTCAGTGGCCTTCTTTCTAAATACCATGAAAAACACAACTTCTCCATTCTCTAGGCATTTAGTGTCCGTTTCCCTCAATTTTCTGATAGCAGCTGTACTGCCCTGTCAAAAAATTTTTCTCATATTCAAAACTGGATATTTATAAACTTAGAATACATTTCTAGAATACAAGCCTATGCATATGGAATCTGCTCCCCAGAGAGGTCCACCTGGCGCCGACGTTATATTCTTTCTGGTGCTAGGTAAAGACCTTTTTATTTGATCATTATTTTAGCAATTAATGTTTTAGATATTCTAGGATTTTATTTCCCCCCCTTTTTCCACAGTCACATTTTATAGTGATGTGCTTTATATTCTTTTACTATTTAAGGTTTTTATAGTAGTTTTATATTTATTGTATTTTTATGTATTTTGTAAGCCATCCTGAGCACTTGAAGCATGAATGGGGTATAAATGGATGTAATAAATGAATAAATAAATATAGATTAATTTTTAAAATGTGTGTAGCAATTATAAATGTGATTTAATATTTTGCATATATTTTTTGTTCTCAACCTACTTTTCAAGAGTTTATCCTCTCTTGGCTCAAAGTTTGTTGCATATCTTAAGGTTGGTAGGCTTTCATGTGCATGCAGTTTTGCACGGAATCTAGTACTTAGAGGAGGTATGTGATGTTGGCAAAATTCACTGTGCAGAAGAAGAATTTTTGTGCCCTGAATGTGCACCATCCTCATGGCTTACAGTAATTTCTCCTTAAATACAGTGGTGCCTTGTAACTCAAATTTAATTTGTTTCAGGAGGCCATTCAAACTCTGTATTGTTCAAAATCTGAGTCAATTCTCCCCATTAGAAATAATGGAAAGTGAATTAATCCATTCCCAAACCCTAAACAGTAACCATTTCAATAAATGTGAACAGCAAATGCACATAATTTAAGGTGAAAATAACACATTCGAATGCCAAAATTATTAATTAAAATGTGAAAACAATAAAATACCTAAATATACTGTATAATAACATGAAAATTGCATTTACTGTACCTTAATGAGGATTGGTGATGTCAGCTGGTGGAGAGGAAGAGAAAGGTTACTATTTGGAAGAGAAGTCATCTTCCATAAGCATGTTAAATACATTTTGCTGCTTTTATTGCTTTCTTATTCTAAAGAATGGTGCACACTGCCAGCTTCGGCATCTTAAACATTGTTGCCGAATCTGCCACAGGTGTACCGCTTTCATGTTTTGTGATAAGTTTCTTTTTCACCTCAATCTTAGATACTACAACCTTCCTCTAAGTTTCATTGCTTCCAAACTCTTCCTGGATGCCATGGTTAATATGTAGAGATTATATATTTAAATTAACACACCAAAAATAAATTTTAAAAGCACTGAAAACACACAAGCATTATGCAAGAGATGATGTCACAGCGAGAGACTACTTGGGTGCACAACAGAAGGTGAATTTTCATTGAGTGTACAGTTTGAACACAGAAGCCTTGTTCAAACTTTGGATCAAATTTCTCTTGGATTTAGTGTTCGAACTCTGGAATGTTCATAGTCATTTGAAGTACAAGGCACCACTGTGTACCTTTACTTGTATCTCCTTGCCACCTCATCACTCCTTCTGGGAGAAATTTACAGAGATTCAGATACTAAGTCTAATGCATACATATTTAAAAGTATCACATGTTTAAACTGTATTCATTTTCATAATTTATTTTTTCGGCTCCAGCGCAAAATTAAAAACTGTGCCAAGGTTCTTCTTGTAATAGAAATAATGTTAAAATCTCACATAATTATTGGTAAAACTATACCTTTCACTCTTCAGATTGTTACAAAAATTATAAAAGTTAAAACCTGGCCACTTTTCTCAGCTAGAGCAAATAATGTAACAATTAAATACAGTGTTGTATGAATGTACCAGCAGTTATTTCAAACATTTACAAGTAGCTGTATAAAAGCTGGTTATATTAAAAGATACACTCATCATAACCTTTTTTGTCTTTATTCAATAGCAACTTTTTAATTGTCAGTCTCTGCACAAGCTGAGTTTGCCGGACAATGATCTAACAACGTTGCCTGCATCCATAGCAAATCTCATTAACCTCAGGGAACTGGATGTCAGCAAGAATGGTGAGTTGCTTTTCTTGCTACAGTCTCAAGCAACAAAGTTGCCTCAGTGTACTGTTCTTTGTAAATAGCATTGAACTATAAAGTCCAAAAGTGTGAGTGTGGATGTATATGGCCCTTTCTTCATTTGGTAAATCTTATCTGCTTGGTAGGTTGCATAGACGGTGTTTCCTGGTCCAGGGATCAGTCTCGTTCTTTTCTGTTACTACTTCTGCCTTTGCAGTTGAACATTGCCCCGTTCCAACACAAGAGGATACCAGTTTCTCAGCTGGTGAACAAATCCCTTCTCTGTTGGTGGCAATCAGGAAATGGAATTCTGTAAAAGACTCCATCAGGTGAAGGTACTATCAATACCTGCCTCTGAGAAAGTGGACAGCCCATTATGGCATGGCAGTCACTTGAGGCAGGCGGTCTATATCCAGTCCTCCCCACCCCAGCATAAATTGGGAGCAGGTAGTCTGCCTAGCCCTAAAGCAATTTCATCCACTAGTCAAAGGAGGAGAAAGCCCATGCAAATGGACAAGAAAGAAGCAGGTCCAGGTTCCTTATGGGAAAGGCGGAAATTTTCTTCAGTGGTGGAGAGCAAACTAAAGTAGTAGAATACTTTCAGGGCCATTCAGTACAAAATGTTGAGCTAGCATGTAAAACATCAATTGCAGTCACTTTTTAATTCCACGTAAGTGCTATTCCTAATGTTATCTAGTTGGTTTTAACCTGTTGTTGTTATTTTTAATGTGTTATATTTTATTAGATGCTGCTAGTGTTTATTGCATTGCTTTGGTACCCTTGTTTTTGAAAAATCAGCATAAATATTGGGAACTGTACTGAAAGGCTTTGATTTTTTTTTTTAAATAGCACCATGGCATGGAAATATTTAACATAAACAATAGACTGAAATATATAAGGAAACCTCAGAACATTTATAAGTTTTCTGAACAGGCACTAAGAGCCAACACATTTGGGCTTTCCCAAGTTTGAAGCAGAAGGGATTTCATAATTTTGGGACAGCTGCTGAGAATTGTCTTAGTCTCCCAACTTTCAGCATGTATAAAATAAGAGCATTCTTGGCAGATCAAAAGGATCACCATGGAACACATGCAAGAAACTAACTTGTAAGGTATCTAGTATCTGAATAAAATCCCAGTGCAGGTATTTTTAGTTTTTACAATTTATATACTGGAAAAATACTTGAAAATGTGATGACAGTTTTTGCTCAAACATAAAGATGTTGACTGGGAAAAATTTCTATTTCCAGTAGTGAAGTAATTCATCAGTAATGGAATTGTATTCAGTAAATCTTCTATCTTTCACTAGGGACTCTTCACTTCAAATTTGTTGCTTCAAATGTCTTATGACTGTCAGTCTTTTCCTTTGAATTCCTGGTCAGTGTCTATGATAGCGCACAAGTTCCTATGCATATCTTCCAGTTTATGAAACACTCCAGATTAGAATGTAGTCCTTTACATACAGTTTCCTTTTCTTTATTGGAAGTGTTCAAAGTATCCTTGAATAGTTGCTCATTTGTTCTGAATCTTCAGTACATGTAGGAAAACTGAATTATTGTGCACTATTTCACATGTAAGCAAAAAGGGAAAATCTACACTTGGAGTGTACAGGTTTGAGTTTTGCCAGTTGTTTGCTAGCCTCCAATCTTGGGACAGTCTGACAAGTTACTGACTATCTGTACACACTACTCATTATCCAAGTAGCTCACAACAATTACTTCCTCTATTCTAAACTGCCTTCTTTTTAGTAGAAGCTGACAGAAAATTAAAAGTTTCCTTTAAAAGCTTTCACCATAAGCATAAAGCTGATGGATAGCAATCAATCAATCAATCAATCAATACCAACATAAGAAACTGAATAAGGAGACTATAATTCTCTTTGTGATCCTGGTTATTAGACAGGCACAATTCATACTTTGTTCAGAGATGAATCAGTTAAAACTCTGATTTTCTGTGAAATCAGAATTAGAAATCCATGGTTGTGGATTGTGAGGGGAGGTAGATTATTTGAAATCATGAATGTCATTCTTGTAGCTCTGAGCTATCTTAACACATCTGAATGCTCCCAAGGCATATGGGAAAAAGTGATACTTTTGCAACACTCTTAAGACAAACCCAGAATTACTGCATTAGGGCACATACATTTGAAAGCCTCTGATTCCAGAAGTCCAATAAAAATATGTATAAATAATTACTTATTAGTAAATATGAAGACATATTTGGAACTTGACTTCACTTTTGGTTGTCACTCAGAAGGAAAGAACTGCTGGAGCAGTTCCAGGTTGGTTTGAACCCCTACAGGCTTCTTCATTTTGCTTAGCTGGTATGGTGAAAAGTCATTTGTGTTATTTTCCCCCCTGTTGTTATAAACATATGTGAAAAACTAATCCCTTTGTATCATCTAGTGTAAGCCACTGGGATTGCATGGTATTCATCCCCCTCCTTCTTAAGCTATCTATTTCAGAGATTTTGCTTTCTTTATTGCCATAGATGTTGAACTTTGATATAAAAGCGAGGAAACTGAAGCACTATTCATTAAGTGCTTTCTCAAGGAAATCTAGCTACACACTCAGTATTGATATAACTAAAATTTATCCTTTTGGAAGAGACTGTTCTGTTAACTGTGTAGCTGAAAGTTTCTCTTATCCACTAAATTGCCTTAAATCATCATCATATTACCATTGATAACAAGTGATCAAATTAGTTTAGGAGGGACATATGCTTGCAATGTAATTATCTGTATGGCTTGCAGGCATTTTAAGAAGACAGTTCATGACAGAGACTTGTCCTTTCCTTCCTCACCTTATCCTCACTTCTCTCATGTGCTTGGGATAAGAAAGCTAATTAGAAGGATTTTGATTTTACAGTCATTGACAACCCAACTCTGTTTTCAAAGACACAATAAGTATCCAGTGTTAGGAATTGATGATAAATATTTCTATATTGCCTTTCATGCAAATGCTGTGCAAAATGGAACCTTTGTCTGAGCCTGAATAGTATTATAGGTAGCAGCAGATTTTTAAAAAAGTGGCTTTAAGCCAGAACGTATGTTTGGGATATTGGTTTACAGGGAAGATGGTTTTGTCATGAAGTTGTTGAAACCAGAAGCATTGAAAGCTATTATGAAACAAGGGGAAAGCAGATTACAGTACAATTGGCTTTGCAGAATAAGAAGTTGATTTCATCCATGTAAATATATCAGTATGTCTTAATTTGGGAACTGTGAGGAATCCACTGGATTCCCTAGACCAGGGGTCTCAAACTCGCAGCCCGCGGGCCAATTGCCAGGACAGGTGGGGCACGGGGGAAGGGCCCTGCGGCCTTCAAAGTGCCGGCAGCGCCCGGGCCGGCCTCCGGGAGTGACGCGAGATGAGCGGCCCACCACCACCACTTGATGTGGCCCAGCCGCACCCAGACTCTACTTCCAGCAGCCCCCAGGTAAGTTGAGTTTGAGACACCTGCCCTAGACTCAGCTCCGGGACTTCAGTCCACTTTGTAGCAGCCCAGAGTCTGAGTGGTGAGTGTACCCAGTGTTGGTGGGATGCTAACCAGGAATTGAACCCCATGTGCTGCACACACAGTGCTTCTTTCCCCCATGCATTGCCAGCAGCAGCAAGTGGGGAAGGTAGTAAGACCCTGGAAATGCTGATCTGATGTTCCTGTTCCCACCATTGCTTTTCCACATCCTGCACTCATTCCTGACACGCTGCACAACTGGGGATCTGTGAGCATTCATGGACTTCCTCTTAACTTGGCTTTCTTTGTAGGATACTAGAGCAACAGAATCCGAAAGGGTTTGTTCCAAACCTAATGTTAAGGCTACAGGAATTGGTCATTTGGCAGGTGTCCTTGGAACCATAGTATGACTTGGTAAAGCCCAGTCTGTAAGTTCCAGGATCACTTTTTAAACTTTGATACAGAAGCTGATCTTAGGAATATGTTACATATTTTTGTAAGAATGTGAGCAATTACATGTTTGAGTTCTTTGAGAACTCTAGGATAGAGTCCATCTGGGTCATGTTTTCAGTTTGTCAGTAAGGTTTACTGTTTGTCCCCACCATCTTCCTTAGCTCCTCAGACTCCCTTCTTGAAAATATCTGTTCAGGAACAGGAGTCTGTCCTGTGTTCTATGTTGTGAAGACAGTTGAAAAGAATTAATTTTGCTTCTTCACAATGTCCTTATTTTCCTTTAGTATGCCTTTAACTCCAATTTCATCCAGTGGTCCAAATGCATCTCTTACTAGCTTCCCACTTATACTTTAGAAATTCTTTTTTGTTGGCCTTTATATCATTCATGATATGTTCCTCATGCCTTTTTACTTCTTTTATTATCTGCTTGTCTCTCCCCTACACAAGCTTGTACTCCCTTTTGTTTTTCTCACTGGTGAAGACTTCCATTTTCTGAAAGAAGCATTCCTCTTCCTAATAGCTACTTTGACACGGCTCATAAACTATGCTTGTGACCTCTTGGACTTTGTGTTACCTTTCCTAATTTGTGGTGTACATACCATCTGGGCATCTGTTATTGTGCTTTGAAATAATCTCCAAGCATTGTGAAGGGATTTTATTCTCTTGACTCTCTCTTTCAACTTCTCTCATTTAGAAACGTTTTCTTATATAAAGTTATATGTGACTGTGTTAATCCTCTTTTTAATCTTCAAATTAAATAGATATTAAAGCTGATAGCACATTGAACACTTTTTCAAATTGCTTTAATAACATGTAAATCTCATACTAGGTCCTGGGCAACCTTTCCTTTTCTCTCCCCTGACATTTCAAGTTTTGATGAGGAAGGAAACCATTCAGCTTTAGCATACCTATTCCTCACCAGAGGGAAGATAAGATAGGACTTAATATCCTTTCTCCCCTCTCTGGTACAGGTCTATCCCAGATACTACAAAAGACTGAGTTCCATTTAATATAATGTGAGTGGAATTTCATAATGAGAATTCCCTTTCTTCATTCCCCACCCCAGCTCGACATTCATATTTGGTCTGGAGTTTGCAGGCAATTAAGGGGGAATCCATCTGTTTTGTTGATTGATGGACAGAGTTGGAAATAAACATGGGACTGTGAGGGATTGTATGGGTGAAATAACTGATGGACTCATTAAAATACAGAAAATGAACGTATGAGCTTATGTGATTGCAGTGTAAATTAAGAATATGAGCTTCCTATTGGAGTCTGTTGAATTTAGGCTGACCTTCTGGAACCAGCTGCTTTCCAGATGTTTCAGACTGTAACTCTCAATCTCTGACCCTTAGCTGTGCTGTTGGGAAGGGGGAAAAACATGGAGAGCCTTCGCTTGGGGAAGGCTGCATTTAGATTGATCAGGCATTGAGGTAATGCAGTTGCAAGTAAGATTGGAACTAAATATTTGGATCTTTTGTCCCATTATCACTACCTTTTCTGCTGTTCTACAAATAAATATACACCATCAAATTCAAAGTTTTGGATATGTGCAGGTTTCCAAAGTCTGTTGTGAACTTACAGAAAGATGTATTTGGCCTTTCCTTGTTATATTTTGATATCCATTGTTCCAGTTAGATGTCTGAAGACTTGCACTGTCTGGCAAATGAAGTTGTAATATATGTTCTCAATGAAAATATTCAAATAAATTTTAGTGTAGTGTGTTCCGTCATTCACTAAAATACTGCCAGCTGAGATTTGGCTTCAAATGTGGTTTTTATGTTGTTCTCTTTGAGATTCTGAACAACCTTAATAAGGAACCTGACTTGTAATGTGTGCAATTTATGCAATATATTTCCTGCTTGTTCCTTATTGTTAGGTGTTCAGAATGTCCAAGGAATTTGCAGGAATTACTGACAGTTGTTGTGTTGATCATCTTAGTGTGCACCAGAATTTCTGGCATTTGTCTAAATCAGTAGGAGCTTTCTAGGACACCAGTTCCACATCCTGTCACTTTTCCATAGAGTCCTGGATGAGTGAGACCACCAGGCTTGTTGCTTTCAGATGCTTCCATCTTTGAATAATCACTTAAGGTGTAATCCTTTGTGTGTTTAGACAGAGGACAAACTTACAACTGACATGCACCTTGTATGCTTTGTTTCTTCACTAGGCAAAGAATTTTTGGAAGACAGCGTGCAGTCATTTTATGTGGAAAAATTACAATTAACTGCACAGATGTATCACAGCTATACAAACATTGCTCCTTCTCACTTCTCATTCATACATCAGTGACACTATTCCATTGTAAATGTTGTGGGCAGTATGCAACATTACAAGCATGCTAGCAGGACTCAGTGCTAGTGTAATGGGAAGCCATTCCAAAAACAATAGGAAAGGAGCCAAAATGCTAATTTCCAGAAGTGGGGAGGTTAATGACAGCACACAACTCCATTGACGTGACCTGTTCTGGAAACTAAATGTTTCAGTTTATTTCTGTTACACTCATGCTGAATCCCATGGGTGCAAGAGAAAGAGTGAAGATTCTGCAGCGGTATTGGATACTGTCCTGAACTTTGCATGATTTAATACAGTAGGTCTTTGGTATTGATTGAAGAAAAAAATTGACATTTATGTGTAATGTTTTTAGGTGGAACATCTGTTTATTTATTTATTTATTTGACTTGTATGCTGCTCCATTAGCCATAGGCTCTTTGGGCAGCTCACAATATAGTAAGCAACATTTTAAGAACAATTAAGACAATACAACTCATTTATAACAATCATGATATAAAATCAACCGAAACAAAATAAAAAAGGAAAAGGAAAACGCATAAAACCAAACAATTGTAAAGGCTTTTGGAATAGAGTATGAAGATGCTAAAATCCAATACCCTGCACAATAATGCATTTCAGACCTATTGTATATTTACTATATGGTTTAAATTACAACTTCACTTACATAAAAACTGCATGTCTCTTTGTTTCTGCTCTTTGTATCATAAGACGTTTGTGCTGCAGTTCAGACTATTAAAATTTACATGCCCCAAAACATAAGATTTGCCTTGCATTGTTTTGCTTTTAAGTTCTTTATACCTGTAGCCATGGATGCAACTTGAAATATTTCTGGCACCAAGTAAAAGTAAGGTTAATCCTTAAGATGTGTAGTAGGGGAGGAATAGACATGACACGGTGGGATGAATATACACATGCAGTTTTTCTTTAGTGTGCAGTAGACAGTTGCTATGAATGTGTAGGACGTTACCATCCATGGAACAAAGTGTCTCTGTTCAGATCTCTGGCTTATTCCCTGTGTCACTGTTAGCAATACTTCGTTTCATTTAATACTGGGGGGGGGGGGGGATGCCAATTTTAAAGTATTTTTTCTAGATTCCTATGTATTTTTACCCATTTTTATTGATGTTTTGAAAATCAGTGTTATACCTGCATATTTACATTCTTTGGTGGCTTCCTAGTCTGTTCTTTGTATCTACTTAACTTTTTATCCAATAACAAGTCCAGGGTTTTGTTTCATTTCTTTCTTTTTTCCACCATATTCAGTTCCATGCAATAAGATATACATGTTGGGGAGTGTTTCATTCCCTGTGGACAATCTGTAAAAGGAAAGATTAGATACTTCAACTGTTTTAAAATTACTTGGCTGGAATTTATTTGATACTATCCAAATTGGGCTCAGCAGAGATTAGGAGTGCCTAGCTTGTTACAGCAAGTAATTGTCCCTCTTTCAGGTATTTGTTTATACTTTGCCAATTCATTACAAGTTGTGAATAGGTCACACCCACTGTGAATTGTTATTTACACTCATGGTTCTCAACATCTGTGCTCCACATAGCAATGTGATGCCTGTCTTTTGTATTCCTTGACCTTTTTGCCTTACTTTGTAATATTTTTCTGTCTTCCCTTTCTCCCCGTGTGTGTGGGGGGCATGTAACAATGCAAAGAAAAAAGAAAGAAAAATGGGGATAGGGAGAGTAAATATTTTCAGACTCTTGACATTTTATACAATTCTAGAAGAGGGTGGCATTAGGATTGCAAGGTATCACTACAGAGTTAGTCTCTTTAAAAAAAAATCCCAAATGCCTCTTCTCCCTACTTACAGAAAAGTTATTTCAGTTAGGAAAACAGCAGAGTGAGAAAAGATTTTATTCCCTGCTGTACTTACGTTACATTCAGTACAATTCTGTTATCCAAGGTCGGGGTTATTTTGCCCCTGTAAACTATCAACCCCACAAAAGAAGTTTCATGTTAAGCAATATGGTATTTTTAAAACTCTGATTTTTATTTAGGTCTGTATTGGCTTGACAGTTTAAGAAACACTATTTCTTAACACATTTCTAGTGTTTCAGTGCATATTTAGTAATTATATATTTGAATGATAAAATAGATGAATATGTTTTAAAGCATTATGTAAGAATATTAGGGTTTCTGTCAAGCTGTAAACATAACTCAGAATTGGACTGGCCACCTAATGAGAAGGAAGGACTCCCTGGAGAAGAGCCTAATGCTGGGAACAATAGATGGCAAAAGAAGAAGGGAATGGCAGAGGATGAGGTGGCTGGATGGAATCACTGAAGCAGTTGTCCTGAGCTTAAGTGGACTCCTAAGTGGACTCCGGGGGATGGTGGAGGACAGGAAGGCCTGGAGGAATGTTGTCCATGGGGTTGCAGTGGGTTGGACATGACTTTGCGGCTACCAACAGCAACAACAAGTATGCTATTGTTGCTCTTCAGTCAATTCTTAGCAGATTTTTTAAAGGAAAAGGACGTATGTCTATTTTCCAGGTCATTTTCCCTTGAACAAAGGGTGTATTACATTTGAGTTGATATTTGAAAAATTTTACTTGTAAATATTATTGCCGGGACTGGATTCTCTATTATAATTGGCTTCAGTAGTACAAAAGCAGATTAATGCTGCCTTGGAGGTGATGAACAACACGATCTTTCTGAATTCTTTAGAATCCTTTTGCATACTCCTTTTCTAGTCAACTGTGTTCATTGTATACTAATGAAACTGTTATTTCAAAAGCATAAGGGCTGTCTCATTTTACATTCTAAAGCAGGAAAATTTATATACTACAGTTAAAGAAAAATCATACAATTCTAGGCCTGCTAATTTAATTCATAATCCAGGACAACCTACATAAATTAAACAGATCAAGAAAATATAAATGATGTATCTTATTTTGCATAAATGTGCTTGCAGTATGTAATGTTCTTATATAATTTTGATTCTGGCAGTCAGGTGAATGGGTAGTTTGACTTCTGACCACTGTAAATTTTAGCTAGTGGGATCTTTGGCTTTGGATATTCAACATTCAAAAATTATGTTTACACTGCAATGATTAGAAGCATTTTTTAAAAAAATGGAAACAAATGTTCTTGGTTATCTACATTCTATAGCAACTACCATGTTCAGTTGATGTACTCCAGTTCCAAGGAATGACAGCAAATAGGCATTTCTCACTAAAGCTGCTAAAGTATCTCTGGTTAGTTCACTGAAACTCGAGATCTATGTAGTTTTCACAATAGCAGTTTGAATATATTGAACCATATCTTAAGTGAATGCCTGAAAAACAACCAGCTGTGAAAAAGAAAACATGCAAAGCAGTACTGAGATGATCATAATGATGCAATCTCCTGAAAATAAAGTTGCAGTGATATTACAATTGCTTTAGAGTCTTCCTGATGCACTCTTATGTGCTCTGCTTTTACAGGCATACAGGAGTTTCCAGAAAATATCAAAAACTGTAAAGTTTTGGCAGTTGTCGAGGCCAGTGTAAACCCTATTTCAAAGTAAGTTTTTCTGTTGAAATGGGTCTTAAAGTTTTGTAGCATGTGTTAGGAAATGAGTACTTTAGTGGCCTTAGCTGTGTATTCAAATGGAGTAGATGGCCTTGCATTTGCTAATGTTTTTGTTTGTTTAAATTTGTTTAGGCTTCCAGATGGATTTTCACAGTTGTTAAACTTAACACAGCTATACCTAAATGATGCTTTTCTTGAGTTCTTGCCAGCCAATTTTGGCAGGTAAGTTTGTAAATTAAAATTACATTACATTTCTATTTTTCTTTTTTTAAACTATACAGAACGTAATGTTGCATGTTGATAGCAGAAGAGAATGGAGGGTCAGTTCTTCACTAAAAATAATTAAATCGCCAACAAAATTTGAGAGAACACCTTTAGAAAAGATGGAATGAATTGAGTACATCCGTTTTAAGTCCCATCTAAGATGGAACTTATCTTAGTGGAAAGGGAAACCTGAAAAATGACTAACATACTTTGATTTTTACCTTATCAAATATATATTGCTTGAGGAAATTCATGGAGAGAGATTTCTCAAGAGGGTTGTTTGTTTGTTCTTTTAGTATACAGCAAGGACCTTTGTTTTACGACTCTTAAGTCTTGCCTTGATGCCAGCTGTGCAATATATACCTGAAAGATAAGGCAGAGTGATAGTGAATGTGTCTCCCCCCCCCCCCCCACACACACATTTTTTTCTCTCTTAGCCACCTGTTCCTGCTGCTGGGAACTTATTGGGATTTTGGGTCTTCCAAATCTCTTTACATATAAAAGGGTAGAAGTGATTGTCCAATCATAGCCTTGCACTAGTTGTCTGTCTTTTCATTCTGTCGGCTGTAGATGGCTGGGGTTAGGAAAAAGCTTCCTTTTTTCCCTATATACAGCATTAGCACATGGTGAAATAATGTTGAGCATTACAAATTGAGAACTAAATGGTACCTATGAAATTGGCTAAAATGTAAAATTATATGGATTACAACCTGAAAAAAGATAAATATGTTAGTTCATTTTGTAGACATGCATAAAAGCCTCACGTGGCACTTGTTATGCCTCATGGAACTGAGTCTAGGTAATCAAGAAACATAGTTTTTAGAAAACTGAACAAACAAAAATGCTAGAAGAAAAGAATAAGCATTTTAACATAAAGGTTAGAGGAGTTTAAGACCAACTATCTAGAATTTATTCTTAGGAGGAAGAGAATGCAAGCAAGTTTCAGCAGAGGATTAAGAAAGTGGTTGTAGATTTATTTTGATTATTGTGAGAACTTGGTAACTATATAATTAAATCATACAGAAAGTTGCTTAGGAGAACCATGGAAGAAATTTTCCAAGAGGGCTCTGGTGGGAATAGTTAAGACAAGAAAGTATTTCCACACCATGTTGTCATATTTCTTAAACTGACTCCTCCTCCTTGAATCATACAAACTCAGTCTCCTAAAATAGTGAAAAAATTAATTGAAATAAAAGATAAGACAGTACTTGAAAATCCACTTTAATAGTTCAAAATGGTCACAATGGATTGGATGTCTTTTATGCAGCTTTTATTTCCAGATTAAATCATTGTAATTTCTTTCCAAGCAGCTTACTTTTGTTTCAGATATGCATACTTCAATATTTTAATAGCTATCTTTGTGCTTGTTTTACAGATTAACTAAACTTCAGATTTTGGAGCTTAGAGAAAATCAGTTGAAAATGTTGCCAAAGTAAGTAGCTGAGTTTATTTTGGTATGAATAGCTTGTTTGGAAAAGTATTGAGATCATGATAAATCACAATTTCACAATCAACTTTAAATAGTCTTGTTTTTATTGAAACTGTTATCCTTCGTTAAGTGTATTATTCCTCATTCAGGTATTCCAAATAACTTTTTTTCTGTGATCACTGACTCTTAATGACTCTCTGGCTTACTGGTACTTTCCATTTTTACTTTTACAAATTTCTTCTCTCATATCTCAAGTCATCAGACAGAAAAAGACAATTTATCATCAATATCACATTCTACCAAATATATATGAACAATGTTTCTTTGTATGTCTTGTGAGTTATACTTTATATGTTACAATTCCCTAAATCAAGGTGAATAAAAGGTATGTACAACTGTAATATGTGAAATGCAATGTGAATAGTGTTTCTACTTCCAGCAAGGGAGTTGCTGTGCTAAATTTCTTCAGGTTTTCTGTGTAGAAATATGGAACATGTGACATTAGTCAGTTGGTTATAAAAAATTGTCATGTATAGATGATTACATAAAACTCTAACATTTATAGACATGTTGAAAGATATAGCAGTAAAATATTAATTTCTGAATATAATATTAATGCAGATAACTTTTCCCAGTGATCAATATAATATGCAAACCTATGTCTCTGATTTTGTTTTAATAGTAACAGGGGACTTTTGGTTATGTGTGTGCGTGTGTGTGTGTGTTTATTGTTTGGTACAGGCTTCCTGTTAAGACATTTGGTTTGCTATACTTACCAAACAATCCCAGGGAATTGACAATTCCCTTGTCAGCAACTGTTTATGGTGCCAGTTGCCAGTGGGCAACAGCTGGCCAAGATGGTCTGCTGGTAATCCTCATTCTTTCTTCCAACATGTTAGGCACTGATGGGGAGAGAGGGTTATGTGATTTTATAACATCCATTTTCATCAGACTTCTGTTTGCTTGCTTCTCTGCCTCATTTGGTGGGCATTTTTTTGGTCTTGAGTAAGCAATGAAAAGGGAAAATTGGGTGGTGCCCCCAAAGGAATTACATACAAATATATGAAAAGCTCTGTCAAAGAATATATAGTGCAAAAGGAAGAGTTCTTGGAATGAGCTATGGAAATAATTGAAGAAAGATTCTGGTTCCAGGCAAATGAACTGACAGATGAAATATGAGTTTTTCAGTTGACACTGTAAGCAGAGAGTTGGCTGTGAAGCATAGCTTTGTTGAACTCTTATTCTCTTGACATTGCCATGTTTTAATAGTCTTTCTTGGCTGCATCTAAGCTGGAGAATATGAAGTTAACTCCCCCTGCCCCAAAATCAACTGATTTAACACAAGCACAAATCAACTAAACAGCCCATGTCATCTCTTTTAAATGGCTGGAAACTATACGTCTACATGCGCATAAAATAAATGTATGACAAGTGGTGTTATTAAATGAAGAAAATGAATATGCAATTCCTTTGTTTAAAGGATGCAAACATTTGTGCTAAATCTCAAGTATGGGAATATAGCACTCCTGTTTAATAATATATGCACATATTTAATACTATAAAGTAGTTTAGTTTTTTTAATGAAGCGGATAAGAAGCACGAAGAATATCTGTGTTCTCTACTTAATGTACCAGGTTGCATCCAGGGATTTCATGATATTCGCAAAGGTGGAAAGGAAAGAGGTCACCTTTACAAGTTACTTAGCTGCCACTCAGAAATCAGCTCTGGAGTATTGGCGGGGTTCTATGGAACAGCATGGGATGTGGCATGGAGAGGCTTTTCAGGGGGAAGAGGGAAGTAACCAACCCCCCCCCCCCTTTTGCCTCTTACGCCATCAAGCATCTTTCCACAGTTGGAAGATCAATTTTGGATCCAAGTCACTTTCTTTTGAACTTATAGTCAGTATAGAACAGATTGAGTTTTTGAATCAACAGGGTTGGCATAAATCAAACAAAATGGTGTTGAATGTTGCCCATTTTTAAAATTAAGAGGGAAGTTAGAAAATAGAATTAGATATAAGTCCACAGACTACAACACTCAGCTGTCATCATTTAAAGGCCATGCATCTGCCTATGAACAGTAGCCCTTTTAAATACAGTGTTTTATTTCTTTAAAGTAAAATTTGAAATAAAATGTTATTGTTGCACAATAATTGGAGGGGTGCACACTTCAAAGAACTTGGAGTAAAATTTGATCTCTTGTTATAGCCTTTAGTTTCCTGATGATCCACTATTTACAGTGGGTTGAGCTGTGTGTGCTCAGGGTGTCTGTGCAAAAGACTTCTAAATTTGACAGTGAAACCCAGTCAGTTGAGAGTGATTACAATAGCCTTTGTGGGAGCACAGATGTTTTTGGGGTGGGTAAGGGATGGAACATAGCAGAAAGGTTGGCTGAAGTAGTTGTGCTATCACTTTCTAGCAGTAATATACATAATTCTTTAAATCACAAGGATGCAATCTATCTAGTGGCTCTGTGATTTTTGGAAAAACATTTGACACAGTCCTCATTCGATATATGTAGCCATGGAATAAGAAGCTTTTCTTAATAGCTTAAATGATAGGTATGATATTGTAGAAGTAAAGTATGTTGCTATTTTTCCTTCTCACTGAAGATAAGTAAACAATGGTTTCAGCATTACTACATAGCAGCAGCTTTAAAACAAATAGAAACACTACTTCATAAAATACATAGTTCATATCATGATAGGATAGAATGAATTTTACCATAAGGGCAAAACTTCCTAAATCAGTTGAAGGAACCATATGTTTTTAACTTAATTGAATAATATGAAACTACAGTTTTTGGCTTGATTCTACTGTATGATAATTCATATGATGCTGTTTAACATTGTAAAAAAAACCCTGACCCTATCAAGTCTGTTGGTTTTAAGGAACTGCTGGGGATTAAAAATATGCATTAGTATAAACACAAGAAGATTGGATGTAGCTGGAATTTTTCTTAAACCTAATTCTTTATTAATCCTTTGCAGAACCATGAACAGACTGACTCAACTGGAGAGGCTGGACTTGGGAAGTAATGAATTCACAGAAGTGGTGAGTCCTAGCTAAGTAACACAGCTTTCTAAAACCTCTTATCCTTAAATCTATTTTAATCAATGTCAAATATAAAAATCAGCTTAACTGCTATCTTAGAGAGCAACTGTTGCCTATCTCTTAATACTGTAAATAATCTATTTTTAAAGCTGACTGCTTTTTATAAATTTCAGTTGCTATTAGTGTGGCATTTGTATAACATATAGAAAGTATTTCATTATGAATTTTAATTATAGTCAGTCATATGCTCAGTTATGCAAATTTAAGAACTTTATTTTTGTCTAGCTAATTTTGCATGAAATTCTTCAGAAAGATTACAGACTTGTCTTTAGATCTGGAAACTGGTCATGAGATGGATGGGCCACTCAATTTAGGGAACACCTGTCTCTGTGTTCTGAGAGGGAGGCCTTGCTTACCATACTTGGCTGTTAATAGTGTGGAGGAGGGCTTCCCTACTGAACAGCCCACCATGTGGAATGATCTCATTAAGGTGAGTCCCTACTGAGGCATGGTTCCATAAACTGAAGACTCATTTGTTTACCTAGACATAAGCATCTGGCACCTGTGTCAAAATGTGCAGAGGCAAGAGGATGTGTGAGCAAAATATACAGATCTAGTACATAACACAAAAGAAATTAATTAACAGAAGCTCATATTTTGGTAATAAATTTAAATTTACAGCAATTTACTATTTTTTAACAGCCTGAAGTACTTGAACAATTAAGTGGGTTAAAAGAATTTTGGATGGATGGTAACAGATTAACTGTTATTCCAGGGGTATGTATATTCCTTCTTTAAATTTATTACATTTTACTTGTTCTGTGCATTCTTTGTAGCAATTACATGGTATGCTTAAATGACACTTAACCAAATGTGTATCTACATATATTGGTATGGTTTCACACCTGATCACTATGACATCTGATCACATATCCTGAAAAACTGCTCCTCTTACACCCAAAACTGGTCATATGGAAATAAATTCTGTATGGTTTCAAATATTCAACATCTTGAAACATGTCAATTAGTATTTTATGTAGCCTAAGATGCAATTGGTGAAACAAAATGAGCATTTGGGCGAACTTGTGAAAAACAATAAAGTCATTGTGTCCATCCTTTTTATAGAGGTATTGCTTATCTTGAATTCATGAAATGCAGTAGGCAACTTGTCATTCTCCAGGTGTTTTGACTTATAACTTCTTATCATCCTTCACTATTGGTTATGTTGGTTAGGGTTGATGGGAGGCCAAAACATTTGGAGGTCTAGAAGTTACTTTATATAATGGAAGGTTCATTTAGTTCTTCTGAATATTTTTAACAAAATTGTAGAATGATCTCTGCTCTATAGGTGAACATTTTTTAGACTGGGATTTTGTCCAGCAATAATGAAAATGTGCACTCCAGTTTGCTGCTGGGCATGGAAAATGTGAATGTGACAGAATTGATAAATCATAGCAAATACTTTAAATAAATGCATAAATAAATAAAATGCAGTATTGTGTATTTTAATGTTTATCTTCAGAGTAGAAAATATTTTAATGCAAAGTTTTTTATTTCACCTGTACTTCCAGTTTATGGGCAGTTTGAAGCACTTGACCTACTTGGATGTTTCCAAAAACAACATTGAAACTCTTGAAGAAGGCGTTTCAGGATGTGAGAGTTTACAAGACCTGCTGTTATCTAGTAATTCACTTCAACAACTGCCGGAGTCTATTGGTTCGTATTGTGGGTAAATGCTTACAAAACCACAGACCTTACATCCTCAAGGCCAGAAACTCAAAATATCACTTTAATCTTACACAAATTCACTTACCAAGTGTGTACAAAAATGCAAGGTTGGGTTGTATTAATTTCAGAAGACTTGCACCATGATGAGCTAGTGACAAAGCATTAACAAGACTATTGTAATGGTTAATGTCAAAGTAGGACAACAGGAACCCTGGTTAAGACACCCGCTCAGTTGATTTGGGCCAGTGTCAGGACTGGTTCAATCTATCACAGTGGAGGAAATAGGCCACAGTGGCTTATTTCCCTGCCACCCTCACTGGGATGTATATAGTTACCCTCTCTGACATGGCTTACCATGTTGGGAACCCAGCCCTGGTGGTTTCTTGCTATTTTTAACAATCCATGGGAAATCCACCAGTGAATGACCAGCACATGTAGCTACAGAAATAAGCCACCATAGTTTATTTTCTCTGCTGTGATCTTGCAAATCCAGCTACTGTGTCTCAAACTAAATTAACATCATGGCTTGTTGTAACAATAAAATGTGTAGGAGGAGAACTACAAATGCCACTGTGAGGAAGGACAGATTAGCATGTATGAGCTAGTTGGCTTTAAAAAGGACATAAATCTTTTTCAAAGGATGTGATGAATATCTTGATTTTCAGTATTTGCAAATCGTAGAGATTTTAAGGTGACTGGGGGATGGGGACTTTTTATCAATCAGCACCAATCTCAGTGAAATTGTCATGTTTTTTACATTTTGGAATGGGCATTGACTCCTAGCCATTGTTCCTCAGGTATTTGCATTTGCTCAAGAATCTCATAAAAAGGTGCAGGGAGACTGCTGTCAATAATTGCTACTATTTTTACTAGTTTTTAGGCCAGGGTTGAACAACCTACAGCCTCCAGGTTGCATCTGGCCATCTCATTAATGTCAAAAGGACTTTACTTGGGATCAGTTCAGAGTTATTTTTCCCTTCCCTAGCAGTGGGAAAGAAGAGGGAGAGGGAGAAAGGGCAATGGCAGAAAAACCCTAACCTACCCACTTTTGACTCTTGACTAATCCACTGACTTTGGCCTCACCCATCAAAGACGTGGCCCTAGATTGTCCACAAGTCTTTGGCTGAGAAAATGATGCTTACACTGATAAACATTGCTTTGTGGAAAACAAATATCCTTATTCATGATAGGAACATGAGAATGAGAATAAAGTAATTTCTCAGTATCTTCATTTGACCACTTTTACCCTTGTGGTTAACTTTGGACATCTGTAACACAATGTAAGGCAATGTAAGGTTGTTGTCAACCAGTAAGCTTGGTCTATTGAACAGTATAGAAATAGCATAACTAATATAATTAATATATAATAATTTTGGTGTGCAATAAATATTAGTTTTATATTGACATTAACTAGTGTAGCACTAAAATGATCTTGCCTGTCATGATTGCTACCTGATACTGTCACATAAAAGTGAAAAAAATTGAAAGATTTTCTGGGATGCTGCTGTGGCTCTCTTTCATAAGTCTGTGGTTCCCACCCTGGAGAGGCAGGTTAGAGGAGCCGGTAACCAGTAGAGTTTTTGAGGGCTCTATTCCACAAATATCAGAGACAAAATATGGATTAGCGATGAGCCCCTGGCAGCCTCCATGACTAGGAGAAAAAATCTGCCGTTTTTGCCTTTTGTTTCTGCATGGACTGGGATCGGGGAGAGCAGTAGAGAAAATGTGTCTGTGCTTCAGGATACTCTACTACAAAGCAAAGTGTCTGTTCTCAAATGAATGCTTACTAAAGTGTCTAGTACCCTTTGGGATAATTTTAAAAACTGTTTCTTATACTGCTTCAAAATTTATTCAGATGAGTAGTAGTATATAAATATTTCTAATAAATAAATAAATATTTGTTCTATAACAGGCTGTCTAAAGAAATTAGCAATTCTTAAAATTGATGAAAATCAGCTAATATATCTGCCAGATTCTATTGGAGGGTAAGTATTTTTTGTATCTTCTTCATCAATATAAGGGCCTGTTCTGTATTGTTTTGTATTTCTTAAAGATTTTCCATTAAGTAATAGTCTTCTTAACTGTATTATGTAGATAAAGCATATTCAGTTTTATCATTTTGAGGTTCATACTCCAGGATATCTATTGAACTTAGATGATTTTGGATGTCCTGTGAGTAGGTCAGATAATGAACTTTAGCTTATACTTAAAAGGAGCGAACATCAGCACCTATGTAGTTGCTGAGGCATCAGTATTCATTATTTACATAATATTTGGATTATAAATTGATAGATTCCATTGTATTTTTATATTTGGATTTTCAGTGAAACTGTCAAATAAATTATTAAATTTTGTTAAGGTTAACTTCAGCTGAAGAACTGGACTGTAGCTTCAATGAGATCGAAGCTTTGCCATCTTCTATGGGGCAGCTGTCTAATATAAGGACTTTTGCTGCAGATCATAACTTTTTAACACAATTGCCACCAGAGGTATGCTGATATTCCTTACCTAGTTTCTCTTGCTTTATTCCTTCCTCTCTTGCTTATTTTTAGGTATGTAAGTAAAAGCAGTCTGCATGAATTTTAGAGCATCTTTATTCCTATGCATTTTAAATAACTAGAAACCAGCTGTTGAAATCTCATTATGCACACTTAGTTGACAGAAGAAAATTCAGAAACAACTATTTATTATTATTGAGGTGAAGCATGATACTTCTCTCCTGCTAACTTAACCAATTCACTACATGTTGACAATGTGAAAACCTTGAATGCATCATGGGATGAGACATAACAGACAAAGACATCTCAACATATCTTCAGTTGTGCAGTGAATCTAGTTTCATAACTGAAACAAGGGCATATTTATGAGTGTATCAAATGCTGATTCATCCATCAGTCCTGCCCGTTCACATATGCCATCATATCAGGTAGGCTGTCCTATGTGCACAGACATATACACATTCAGGTGTTAATCTGTTCATTCACCTCCTTTTTGACAATGATATTTCCTTTAAAAGAACTCTGGGAATTGTAGATAGGTGAGCATTTCTTGCTGAATTCATAGTAAGCCAGCCAATTAGCCCTGTACATAGGAATAAAATTCTGTAGTGCTCAGAGGAAGTAGATGTAACATTTGGGATGAATGAAGTGAAGATGCTTCCCTGAACTGATTTGCTGTGGAAACTTTTTACAAAATCTTTTTCAGAAAAATTCCACATCTAATTTATTTTTCCATCGAAAGATTTCCAGTTTTGGATAGCATTGAAAAATGAATTAGTAACATGAGGAATAAGTTTTAAGTAAGTCAAATTGGGCAGCTCAAATAGATACAATGATAGTAAATTGATAATCAGCATTGCAATTAGGATTTCTTTCCAGCTGAGTAGTAGTGAGGGAAACAGGAGCAGGCAAAGTGAACAGCAAGTCCTGGTTCAGTTGTATCCTCCTTCCCATCCCAACTGTCGTAAGGGAAAGAAGGAGACCTAAGGAAGGCAGGAAAAGGCAAAGGAAACAAAGCAGTTGTGTGTAGTGCAGACCATGCATAAAAATGCTATGTGTGTAGATCATCTACACCAAAGATCCAATTTATAGGCATGCTTGCCATCTTACTTTCTTTCACACACACACACACACACACACACGCACACGCACACGCACACGCACATCTGTCTGCTTTCCTTCCTCCAGCACAGTGCCCATGAATATCATCCTCGACACTTGAAACCTTAGTAAAAGAAGAAAAAATCCCATACACTCAAATGGGATAATTTTACTAAGCTTTCTAATGCTGAGGTAGGGTTTTTATGTGGGTCATGGGGGCAGAGTTCTAAACTTTTTGTTTCCTTCCTGTGATTTGCAGGAAAATATCTCCTTCACTTGAAGAAATGAAGAAATACTTGCCTCTAGATGCTAAAATTTTGCAGCTGTATCTTAGGAACTGCCTCCTCTTTCCCATTCAGTTCTCTAGCTGACATCCCAGGAAACACACTGCTTGATTCCTGAAGGAAGCAGGATGGCAGCTATCAAATTTAGGCATTTTTGGTAGCTGTCGTTCACTTGTTCTCACCACATTCCTGCCAATGCTTGCAGAGCAAGTTGCCTGCAAGTTCCTGCATTGACAGGAATGCAGGATGGGGAACCTTACGCGAGGAGAGGCATGAACCTCCCCAAGGCAACATTCCCTGTGAACCCAGTCATTATCTCTTTGTGAAACAGAACATCCTGCACCATGATACAAGAAACGTAAAGGCAGTCAGCAAAAGGCTGTCTTCATTTTCCTCATCACCTCCCTTACTTTTATTGTTCTCTTCATTCCACATCCAAGTAATGGAAAATTCTGGTGAATAGAAAGTACTGACACTAGTAAGTTCTGTGGAGCTATTTGCTTACTAATGAACATTGCAACACAACCGTACACACAAAATGAACCTCTTCTTATCAACAATTATGTAACAAAATGGTATGTAAAATTATAATAATAACAAACTACTTCAACCCATGCTCCCCCAGACCCTGGCAACAGCACCAGTGCAAAAGCTGGCTGTAGAGCCACAGAGTTCAACTGTTCTTTTGAGTCAAAATACAAACAAAAGAATCCAAAATGCCCTCTTCAACTGATCTGAGTATCCACAACACAGAAGAGTCAGCTCCACATGCAGAATCTTCAAAAACCTGGAATAAAATGCCAGATTCACTATGTGGATCTACCCTTGCAGTACCTAGACCAAGTAGACAAGAACCTTAGTGGCAGTAGCAGTTCCTGCCTCTTCAGCTTTCCTGCTCTTTTTGATTAGCATTTCTTACAGCTGTGCTCTTTCTTAGTCCCACCCCTTTGGGCTGTACCAATACGTCATAGGGGTTACACACGCATGCATGTTCATATTTTAAAAGGAAAAAAAAGTATGAAATGTTAAGTAATTAGTATTCTGTACTTCTGAAAGATCAAGCTTATTTATTTGTTTGGATTTTTTAGGTTGGAAACTGGAAACATGTAACTGTGCTGTTCTTACATTCTAATAAGCTGGAGTTCCTTCCAGAAGAAATGGGTGATATGCAGAAACTAAAGGTCATCAATCTAAGTGACAATAGGTTTGTGATTCACATATTTTCATTGAATAATGTTGCTTCACTGAATTACCTTAGGCTTGTCACTATCTTTCAACCCAGCCCTTGTCTCAGGGTTGTTCTGAGAAAAAAATACCATTTTGAGTTCCTTGGTGACAAGTGGGACAATGGCATTTAAGCAGACTGTCTCATTATAGTAGAGGTGTTTGTTTTTTCTACCTTAATGGTTCTTAATTTGTTGGAAAATGCTTGTGTGCAAATATTTAGTCACTCTTAGTTTGGACTGGCCTGGGGATTGAAGAGAGGAGATGGATTTAATCATAGAAGAGCTACAGTAGTTTAGGACAGAGTTGAGAGGAGTTGTGTTGGCATCATGAAGGGAAAGTCGTTGCAGTCAGGAAATAATTTCCCCCCAGGAGAGACTTGTTAGTGATCCTAGTATGTGCCCCCATACCCTGCAAAAAGTGGCACTGAACACTGCTTTAAAATACCTGCTTTGCAGCTACCATTCTTTTTGTGGTATTCATACTAGCTGATTAGAAAAACTACTGGCTGGATAGTGTGGGTTAACCCCTGGTTTTCCATGTATTTGAGGATGTTGCTTGTGGTGAATTTGTATATGTTACACTGGGTGGCTTTTGAGTCCTTTCCAGTTTGCATTCTTAAGTTGCCTATGTAGGATTCATGCTTGTAGGAAGCAGTGTTTGTGGGCTTACACTGAACCACTTTAAATTACTTATGGTAAAAATGATTCTGCAATCTCAGATTTCAAGAAATATTTTTTTCAGTATCTGCTGTAGGGTTTTCAATCTGATTTTGTATGTGTAATTAGGATTTCGGATTGGATACCTGGCTGCACTGAGAACTATTTTTGAAACAGGAGAGTAAGGAGTTCTACTGTAGTTTGGTATTGCAAAGGGATATACTATTAAAAGAGGAAAAAGTAAATAAAAATCACATTGGGAACACTTCAGTTTATCCATTATATCTCAGCCGCAGTTGTCCCTTTTAAAAACACTTACAGACCTGCATCGACTTGATTGCAGCTTTATTCTTTTACTACGCCAGCAATATTTTGATGACAAAACTGAATTGTAAATACTTCTTTCATGTTCATAAGATTGCTTACTGAAGAAGCTTTCCTGTAGTGCAGTGATAGTTTTGAGCCCCTGAAATAGGTCTTGTAATGAGCTGGGCCAAGGCAATCTAGCTCAGCAGTAAAGCTGAGTCCAGATTCAATTATTGGGCTTAAACAGAGGTCTAGGCAAGTAATGCTGGCAAAGGTAATGGAAGGTTGCTGACAGTGGGATGGGAGAACCAGGGATGTTTGGGTTCACTATACTGGATATGAGGGAGGTCTCGGAGCTCGTGAGAATTCTCAAGAACTTCACTTGAAAGCTTGGTTTGGCTTCCTTCTGTTTTTGTCTGTGAGCTATTTTTTGGTTTGTTCAAATGAGAAAGTGCATATTTTTGAATGAGAAAAGAACTCATTTCTCTGCAAGATTTTTTCAGAGTGTACAAAAATAAGAAAATATGAAAATGTGTATTTTTAAAATGCATATTTAATTCAATTTTTTTAAAATAAACATTTTTAAAGTTTGAGAAACTGCAAATATTTATTGAAAAATGCTGTCCTGTTCATATTGGATTTTCTGAGTGGGGCATGTTTGCATTACTTGGGAATTAAAACGAAAATTTAATATATCACTAGACGAAAATTTAATACATCTCTAGACAAGGCCTCTGTTCAATTGTTTACTTTCAGTTGCAAAAACTGCTAAGCCTGTTCCAAAAGATTGTACCCAATAATTTAGTTCTGAAAGTAACCAATATTTTGAGTGTATCATTAAAATTGCTTAGGATAGGCATAGTTCATACAATTCTTATATTGTTAATTAATATTGTCGGTAGCTAATATCTGATCTGCTCTTAGATAAGCCACACTTTTGATACTCTTTCTTGTTTTACATATTTTATTCACAGACTGAAGTATTTGCCCTATAGCTTTACAAAACTACAACAGCTGACTGCCATGTGGCTATCAGATAATCAGGTAGGCATCATTTATTTTTATGTGATTAATTTTTTTAAATTCTTCAAAACAGAACGTTTCAAAAATAGCAGTTAGATCAATAGCAGACTTTCTGCAATCACTTAGAACCCAAATTTAATATTGGATGTTAAATTTTATTCTTTCTCACAAATAGAATTGAGCATATTGCTATGTTTCTGATGAGCTAAAAGTGCATTAAAATATCCTATTGGCCGATGTCCACAGAAACTGGCGAAAGAACTATTATTAGTGTTCTGGAACCCTTTAGCACAATGCATATTTGCATAAGAAGTTTTCATATTTGTATTGTGTACTTAAACATGTGCTTGTCTCCCTGGAATGCATGACAGTAATGGTGGTGATTTTGTTTTTGAAAGGGCTAGGCCTTTAACTACTATTGAGTATTGTGCTTGCTCCCTTGATAATATTAGTGGAAAGAGTAGCAACCAGGTATATGCCTCAAGAACAGAAAGTTGACAGAAACGGAATAATAGCAAATTGTTTTCTTCTACAGTAGCCCAGTTAATTCACAGAACTGAAAGAAGTGGGCAAGTGTGAGTGAATTAGAAAATAGGAATTATACACATAGGCAGAATTAATTTGTGTGCTTACAATTCTTAATACTGTAGAGATAGCTGATTCTTAATTCTGAACCATGGCTTATTTCTTTAGCAGTAGGAACTGCTGTAATATAAATAAATAATGCAATAAATAATGTGTGAATGCAAGCAGTTTTTCCTTGAGTTACACCATACCCATATGTGCATATAATTTGGATTCCATGAACATCTTATCTTTCTGAACATTTACATTCTTTAGAAAAAGATGGGCAAGTGTCCATTAGACATGATTGGGTATAGATTTCCAGAACAAATAAATGCACTAGATTGAAAATCTCTATCAATCACTGTACAAAATCAGTGATGTACCGATATGATGTATTTTCCATACCCTATATGTCAGTTTTTATTCATACTTGTCTGAGCTGTTGTATTGCTGTCAGTCATGGTGGGATAACTATAGCACATCAACTTTTGTAAGTTATTCTTCTAAGGCAGGGGTCCTCAAACTTTTTAAACGGGGCCAGTTGAAAGGTGCTGCTGAGGTGGGGTGAGGGCAAGTGAGTCCAAAACGATCTCCACACGAGCAAGCCCCCGCCTCGCCACACGTGCGCATGGCGAGTCCAAAACCTCTATGGCAGGCTGGATAAATGGGCATGGCAGGCTGCATTTGGCCCACGGACTGTACTTTGAGGACCCATGTTCTAAGGCAAGCACTGACAAATCTTACTGCTCAATTGCCCGTGAGGGAACTGAAAAATAAGGTATGAAAATGGCTCCCTGTGCACAATACAATTGGATTCAGGTTGGATCTGGAACAGACTTATGCAGGGCATATTTGCCCTTTATTGTTAACATTTATTCAGTAACAAACTGGAAGGAAAACTGAAACTAAGACGATAAACTGGCACTCCAAACTGGGGCGGGGGGACAAAATGGACCACCCCATGTTTCACAATGGTACAGCCTGACTTCCATTGTGGCCAAGGGCAAGAGTTGGTACCAACTATGTCTTTAAGGGGAGCATGTAGTTTCCCCTTTGTTCTCACAGGAGGTAATAGACTAATCCAAGGTACGTTTCTCAGCAGTAGGAGGACCTCTCTGCGCTGAGGTGGGAATGACAGTGTTAAGCTAGTCTTTTCTTGCTGATTTTTCCCCTTGAACATAAAGGGTGCAGAGGAACATAAAGGGTACAGTGCATGTTTTTCCTCCTGTTGGTGAATGGGTGGAGGAAATTCTAATTTTTATGACATGCGCATGGTGGGCATGTCGTGAGCGGAGCCGGCTAGAGCCGGGGGTCAGGCTAGATGGCCCGGGAGGCCCCTTTTGACTCGCTCTGTTTCTATAACTACTGTGTTTCACTGCCTCAGAGAAATGTACCATTTCTGTTCTTAGAGAAGTCAGAAGTGTTTACAAAAGATTTTAGTCTGCTAGTGCTTGTGGTTACTTTAAGCTAAGCAATAAATACCTCAACACAAGAAGACTACATGTGGCATCACTACAATGAAAACACTGACGTTAAAAAGAAAGTCGGTACATGTAAATATTGTAAATGCAACAAGTATAAATAGATACTTAACAGCATGTATTATTAGCATATTATATTGCAGAAACTGTAGCATAGAAATTGTCCTGAAAAATACGCCTATAGCAGTATTTGTATACTCCTACAAAGAAGTGATGCAACTCATTAGTTAGAGCATTGGAAAATTTTCTTGGAAAACCTACATCACTCTATAAAATTCTGGGGAAGAGCTATCATGCAAGCAAACTTGCACTCACACAGTGGGATTTTCCTCTTCCCTCCCCTTTCCTGCAACCTCTTACTCCCCCCCCCCCACAACTTTGTCCCAGGTGGTCCTTAGCCCAGGGGAATAGACGTCAACATAGATGCTGCATGGAGGAATAACCTCTCTTTAATTTACACTGATATCCTGCCTGCATAGCTATACATTGAACTAGCATGTGAAGTCACCTTTGTTAACCCAGAGTGATGTGGACCTGCGGCCAGATGGGTGACCATATGTAGTAGAGGGTTGGACTTGATGGTCTTATAGGCCCCTTCTAACTCTATTTGTATTTCTACTCTAAAATTTTCAGCCAATGAGAGGTGCTATAAAAATATCCCATTCATGCTTATTTATCTTGCAACTGAATAGAAATGCTGAGCAAGATTTATAAAGTGGCAACATTTGAATGTTTTGCTGCCAAGAATATAAATATTCCTATTTAAAAAACAAAACCAAGATTTTACTGTTTTTTGCCTATGTATTATCTCTGTGCATTCTTAATTGTATTCTCTCTCTCTCTCTCTCTCTCTCTCTCTCTCTCTCCCTCCCCCTCACTCCCTCCATTCTCAGTCCAAAGCACTCATTCCCCTTCAGAAAGAAGTTGACCCGGAAACACAGAAAACAGTGCTTACTAATTATATGTTCCCTCAGCAACCAAGATCTGAAGATGGTGTGAATTTATTTATTTACTACTTTTTTAAAATGCTGCCTGATGATAAAGAGGATTATCTATTTAAGTTGGATCTATTCAGTCTAGTTTGACTAATCTCAGAGATTTTAGGCAAACATGTTCAGTGAAACCTCAAAAATTAGCCACTTTTGAATTAATAATGAGGAAATACTAATGTGTAAACTCTGAGGTCCTCACCTGTATTTACCCTTCTTAGAAGTGCTTAACCAAACAGCATGATTTTCAATGTTTATGAAAGATCTTTTGTAACTTGTAGGCCAAGCCATTAAAAGCACCTTTTTATAAGCACATAATACTGTAATTTGGGTATGCTACAGTATTGTCCTCAGTCTCTTGCACTCAGCCCCAAGCCTAATGACTCCTAGATATGGTTCAGATTACAAGCAGCAATATTGAACATCATAGTTCTGAACAGTCTTGGAAGGAGGAAATTGTGCCTTTGGAAAAATGTTAATAACTAAGAATATCCATCATGCAAGTCACCTTATTTGTTTATTAGTCATTTTTTTCTTTTCTTTGGCCTAGTTATGTTCATATCTGATAATGAAAGTTTTAATCCTTCACTGTGGGAGGAGCAGAGGAAGCAACGTGCTCAAGTGGCCTTTGAATGTGATGAAGATAAAGATGAAAGAGAGGCACCACCCAGGGTATGTAACTGCCTTAATCAGTCATGATGCATTTATATGATCTGCTCTGGACAGAATCTTTACTGAAGTAGGTGACCTCATAACAGCTCTCTCCCATTTTGTCTGTGTGCATGTCTCCTTAAGGCTCCTTTGACATTCTTGAGAATCATAGTTTTCATTTATATAGCCTGCAGATGCCTTTGACCAAGAGTTCTTTGTGTGCTCCAATGCTGATCATGGGCATTGTCTGAAGGCGTATGACACAGACATCTTTCTGAAATTAAGCTGGTCTAGGAATCTCATATGTCCCACCAGAAATTCCATCACTGAAAACATCAATATAAATAATACCAATAACACCCAAAACATAATCAGTACAAATAAATCGAATGCACTATACATGTGTTTTCCATTCATTGCAATTACAGGGGTAGCTCCATGCATTCCCGATTAGATTTCTGTAACGCGCTCTACGTGGGGCTACCCTTGAAGACAGTCCGGATACTTCAGTTGGTGCAGAATAGAGCTGCCAGGTTGCTGACGGGGACTGGGTGTTGTTCTCATATAACCCCAGTTCTCCGTCAGCTCCACTGGCTCCCGATTGAAGTCCGGGCCCAATTCAAGGTGTTGGTTATGACCTATAAAGCCCTAAATGGCTTGGGACCTGGATATCTAAAGGAACGCTTGTGCGCATATATGCCCTCCTGCCCCTTGAGATCAGCAACAGATGCCCTTCTCTGGGAACCGTCTGTGAATGATATTAGGAGGGTGAGTACCTGGAGGAGGGCTTTCTCTGCGGTGGCGCCCCATATATGGAATGTACTCCCCAGAGAGGTCCGCCTGGCGCTGTCGTTATTTGTTTTTTGGCACCAGGCTAAGACCTTTTTATTTAAAACTTATTTTAATTGTTAAATTATTTGGATTAATAAGATTTTAAATTTTTAGCCGAGAATGCACCGGGGGTTTTTAAACAATTTTTTTTAATTGTTACATTGTTGTTATTTATGTATTTATGTATCCTTTGTGAGCCGCCCCGAGGCTTTGTTGCGATGGGGGTGGCATAGAAATGTTTTAAATAAATACAAATAAAATATAATGTAATGTTTCTTTCACTCTCATGGTTAATGTCACTATGATGGTCACAATTTGTAGCACATAACACTTTATAATGTGACTTCTAAAAACTAGTTTCTTTTTACTTAGGAGGGTAATCTGAAGAGGTATCCAACTCCGTATCCTGATGAACTGAAGAATATGGTCAAAACAGTTCAAACAATAGTACACAGATTAAAAGATGAAGAAAACCCAGAAGAAGCTAGCAAAGAATCAAAGCAAGAAGGCCTGCAAATGTCAGTGAAAGATGTAAGTGTAAAAGTTAGATTCAGTATTCTGATATTTTTGTGAAATACTATTAATTGAACCATGGCAATTTTCATTTATGGCCATAAAAGATTGGGAAGAGAACTTACACATATGAATTATATCATCTGCATTCTACAAAGCAGTGATCCAGTAAGGGAGCAGAGCTGAGTAAGAGTTACCAATATGACTGTGTTGTCCAATATTTAGAATATAGCTTGAGTGATACAGTAGTTTGTCCGATGTTTAGCAGGGGAACATACCTACTTCCAGCATCTTTTTTTACCTCTATTGATCTTTGCAGAAAAAAAACCTCAAAACAACTTCAGGCTTCAATGTCTTGCCTCTGCTTCACCATGCCATTTATAGTTGATTATTAGATGATAAAAGTGTCAAAACAGTAATTTATTCATATATAGAAATATTGGCTAATGCACTGGATCCGAAAGTGAGAAAATTCCCACATAGCTATAATCTGGTTAGGTCTTTCAGCCATACTTCCTTGTTGTGAGGCTGATATGTTGCACTGAGCAGCAAAATATGAATGTAATCTGGAGAAGTGGTAGGAAACAAATAGAACAAACAATTGAACCCAGCTGGCAGCAATGTAGCAAGAAACCTATTTGCAACCAATCTGTTTTGCTAATTTTGCTTTTCTGTTTTAAAAGAGCTTTTGATCAAATTATGAACATATTTTAAGCAATAGGTCAGTGTTGTCAAATTTTCTCCGGGACAAATGAAACTGTAAAGGTGTGGCAGAGTAGATGACAAAATCCAGTGGTGCAGTTAAGTAATTTAGATTCTAGACATTAATGCACATGCACATATGCGCACACAGTCAGTTACATTAAAATGTGCTGAGAGAGTCCTCCTGTTTCATTCTGCTTTCCCAAAGTCTTGCCCTGACAGCAGCACCGTGCATGGGATTAATTGTATAGGGACGCCTATATAGTTTCAAAATGTAATACCGATGTTGCTGCTATGCTGGAATTGCCAGTGCTTGAACAAGTGACTGTATCTACATGCTGCTCACATCTATGCTTTCACAGATGGTGGACCAGCATCTACAGCGTGCTGTACATTATCCTCAACAGATAAATGAGCTTTGCCGCCTCGTCTTTGGGAATGTTTTCTCTTACAATGTTAACACCTTTGCTTCTGTCATAGTCTTCTGAGGTAACTCCAGCAAGGAGCAAAGTGGAAAGTGAGCAGAATGCAATGGGAAACTGTGTGCAGAAGTCTAATGAGCCAGATGCTGAAAATAGCACCAGAAACTTACAGATGAATACCCATGTTAAAGCCTTGGAGAGCAGAAAGCCAGTTGCTAATCATGAAGATACTCTTGAGGTATTTCATATTGTCCAAGTGTCTCCCATTCAAATAAAAATTATGAAAACGAATATAGAGTGCAATAATTAGAATATATTTTAAACTCAGTTTTCAAAACTAATAGCCTGTTATCCTGTGCAGGAAGAGTAAGGCCCATTGAACTCAGTGGGGCTTATTTCTTGAGATGACATTTCTGTTCAAATCTAGTTACAACTGCCACTAAAGTCTGCCCCTTGAATAGCTAAAGTTTTAAAATCAGACTAAATCCTGAAATGAGTAAGGTTTGCATAATGTAACTACTTGTAGTGTTTGATCACAAAATTATATCCATTATTATGCATACCAGATTATGTATGATCAAATCATGGATGAAGAAGCTCTTATTATGAACTGTTCCAGCCTTTAAAAATTGTGTCTGGAGATTTGAGGGTAGGCTAATAGGACAATCGCCAAACCTGCAGATGAGAGGTGCACAGTCAGAGAGTGACGCAGTCGGTAATTGTCTGGGCAATGTTCCCCTTAACTGGCTAGCTTTCCTTCCCACTCCATGCTTCCCCCTACTTGTAATCTCACTAATTGCCCCTCCATTGCCAACTTGGCCTCATAAGCTGTACTTCAGGCACATGATTGGGTCAGAAATGGGAACCAAAGCCCCACTCCAAAAACTCTAAACTCCAGTCAGCTGGATATTGCAGGGTTCACCCCTGCATCCAACCAAAGTGGCTCCCAGAGGGGTGATCTTGCAATTTTGGGCTGATTCTGCCAGGGGCATCAGGCCCAAGAAATAGCAGCTTGTCCTGGAAATAAAACACAGAGCTTGCATGCTGTGGGATGCAGCGGGCAGAGGGAGGCTCTCAGCTCTTGCTGGTGATACCAACATCTTCCTCAGGAGTGACAGTAGTTAAACAACAGCAGACAGTACTGCAGCAAAGGCTCAACAGAATGTCCCAGATGCCTTGTCTGTTGAACATCTGTTGCATCCACTGCATGTCCGTGTTTACTTACTTGTACTATTGTTTGTTTACTTGTCCGGATCCATGTAGCTTTAAACAGTCGAGGCTGAAATGAACATGACAAATTCATCCATTTAAGTGTCAACATGGTTTAAGATAAGGTGGCTTTTCCCTGAAGCATTGAGTCAGGTACACATTCAGGACATGGACAGGTTTTCAGTGAACAGAGTCTTCCTTGTTGGCTTCATTGTGTGGGCATTACTAGTAGAAGAATAGCAAATTGATTGGGAAGCAGATGTTTTTCACCCCAGTTAAGTTTCTGCCTATCAGTATATCAGAGACACTGATGTAATTAATTGTCAGGTCTGCTGAAGCAACAGCATTGGGGAATCTTTACTCTCACACAAGCTCACTCTCCAACCATGCTGAAGTTGATGTACATTAGTGATCCTGATCCACATGAACAGTGACATAATTTAAAAACAAACAAACAAACAAAGCAGAATAGGTTGTGTTTAAATTTTACTGTAAACTGCTTCAAGAAGTTGCTTATACCTGGAAAGTGGTATCTAATTTTTGAAAATGAGAACAAAATAATTTGTTGGATTTGTTCATTGCAAGGCAGACTTCCAGTATTTCGCTTCCTGATAGCAGCATTTCAGTTTTTGACTTGCAGTGAGCAACCTTTACCAGACTACAGATTCAAAAAGAGAGCATTCAAGATTCACTAGGGCTTTCTGCACATATTTGCCTGGTTCAGATGTAATGCTAAGCCATAGTTTACTTTTGTGTGTATGAACCTGTTCACCAATTGCCTCTCCCTCCTTCTCTGACTCAGCTACAAGGAGATCAGATATATTTGCTTCTATTGTTAAGTAACCATAACCTGTTCTTATGAAGGTACCCAGAAAAGCGGCGATTCAAACCTACTGCAAACTATGGTTTCTTATCCTGATTTGTTTCCCTGAACTGTCACTAAGACTGATAACTGTTTTTCTTAATTCTGGATCACACAGTGTGATCAGGTTTCCACAATCAGATCGATCCATGGTGGCTTAAATAAAATACTGTGGTTATTCTGAAAACCAATACAGGCACAGTCCAGATAGCTGGTCATGTGCAAACCCAGTGAGAGTGGGTTGTTGGCATGATTAACAAACTTCTCACAATTTATCCACACCAAGTTAACCCATGCCACAGAGTTCACACAAGGGGTTTGGTTTCCCAAAAGGGTGCCATGTGTCAGTCGGATTGTTCAAACCAGACCCATAACAAGTGGCAGTTTTCAGAAATGGAAACAAATGTCTAAACCCTCTATGTTAGATGAGAGGGTTTGATTTAGAGGTAATGAAGTTTGGCTTCTTCCAATTCTTGTAAATAAATTCGTTTTATTTTACAAATAAGAAAATGAACTTGAAATACAAAACCTAAAATTTGCAACATGTACGGACAATGCATTAAGAAGCTTACATGTGTCTAAGGAACTATTTGGATGAGGGAGCTAGTTCGCATAAGCAAAATAGGCTACTTCTTTGACAGGAGTCAAAAATCTTGTCTTTGGATGAAAAAAAAAGCAGAAGTAAAGGCACCATGGCTTATTCAAGTCATGGTGCATGCAGAGCGTGATTTCTATAATCACTGCCTGAGCATAGCCTGTTTTTCACCTATGCTTTGTTTCTTTCTTCAACAGCATGGCTTGCTAAAGGGGAGAGATAATCCTACAACAGGCTAGAGGTAATTGAAAGATTGCTTCCCTCTCTTAACAAACTGTGCCACCCAGGTTTAGATGACAAGAAAAGCCATGCTTCGGCAGTAATTATGGAAATTATGCTTGGCATATGTGGCAGTTTTTAAAAGCCACAATAGTTTATTTTGATTATGTGAACCAAATCAAGATTAATTTTGGCACACTGCTTATAATGTAAACCACATATTTCTCTCTCCTTTGACAGGAGTCAGAAGAACTGTCTTCTGATGAAGAAATGAAAATAGCAGAAATGAGACCACCTCTCATAGAAACCTCCATTAACCAACCAAAAGTAGTAGCTCTGGGGAATAGCAAAAAAGGTAGGCTGTCTTTCAGTAGGAAGCTTCCAAAAAGAACTCATTTGTTCTGATATATCCAATTTACAGCAGGCTATTAAACTGCTTATACCTTTTGATTTACATAAAACCTGGTTGAAAATATCTGGGTATAACCTTTTGAAATTGTACAGCAACAGTATTCATGGGCTGGTGGACATGGTCTTAAGTTAACTGAGCATATTTTCACATGCTTGATCAGTAGACATAAAAATGTGTGCCTTGCTCACCTTTTTTTTTAATGCATATGAGGAAAAACCCATAGGATTTCAACAAGGGAACTTCTCAACCTTTGGTGCTTTAATAAACAGCTGATTGATGTTTTCACTGCATTGTTTTACTTCCTGCATACCTCCTAAATGCACATGGATGAACCTTTCTAGTAAAATTATACTGATACTCTAAAATATACTCATAACATATTTATTTAAAATATGTTATATAGTATTTAATCTAAACATGTTCAAACAATGTACTAGATTAAAACCATGATATGAAAATCAAAATATCCAAATATAACTAAAACATACTAAAATATAACCAAGCACCATCAGAAAACAAATAAGCAAATATCAAAATGATGAACATTATAGATCATCCGAAGTTGATTTAACACATGTCTGAACTGCATCAGACTTACTGTATATTTTGTGGGAAAGGTATTCATGGCAGTAGGTGCCACCATAGAAAATGTGATCAGGCTCATCCTGAAGATGGTGAACCTGGACCCAGAGAAGGCCACCAATTATAGACCAATGGCTAACATCCCATTCTTGGGCAAGCTGTTTGAGTGGGTGGTGGCTGGACAACTCCAAGCTCTCTTGGAAGAAACTGACCAACTGGACCCATTCCAGTCTAGTTTCAGGCCTGGCTATGGGACTGAAACTGCCTTGGTCTCCCTGTATGATGACCTGTACAGGGAGAGGAACAGGGGGAGTGCATCCCTGTTGGTTCCCCTGGACCTCTCAGCGGATTTCAATACTATCAACCATGGTATCATTCTGGATAGGCTGTCTTGAGTTGAGGGTTGGAGGCACAGCTTTGCAATGGTTCCACTCCTACTTGGCTGGCCAATTCCAGGAGGTGGTGCTGGGGGATTGTAGCTCTGTGCCATGGCAGCTTTGCCATGGATTTCCTCAGGGTTCCATTCTATCCCCCATGCTGTTTAACATCTACATGAAACCGCTGAGAGAGGTCATCTAGGGTGTGAAGTCATCAGTATGCTGATGACACCCAGCCCAACCTCTCTTTCACATCTAATCCAGGTGAGGCAGTGTCTGGCTGGTGTGATGGTTTGGGAGAGGGCCAATAAATTGAGGCTTAATACAGAAAGATGGAGGTTCTGTTGGTAGGCATTTCAGCCTTCCTGGTAAGTGATTTTAGCCCTGTTCTGGATGGGGCTGCACTCCCCCTAAAAGACAGGGTGCATAGGTTGGGAGTGCTCCTCAACCCAGAGCTGGAGTTCCAGGTGGCTGCTGTTATGAGGAGTGCTTTCCTTCAGCTTCGGTTGATTCATCAACTATGCCCTTACTTTGGATGAGCAGAGCCTACCAACAGTGACCCATGTTCCGGTAACTTCCCGATTGGAGTATTGTAATGCACGCTACGTGGGGCTGCCCTTGAAGATAGTCCAGATACTTCATTTGGTTCAGAACAGAGAAGCCAGGATGTTAACAGGGACTGGCACATAGCAGAAATAACGCCCATCCTTTACCATCTACACTGGCTACCAATTGAAGTCTGGGCCAGTTTAAGGTGTTGGTGATGACTTATAAAGCCCTAAACGGCTTAGGACCTGGATATCTGAAGGAGCATCTCCTTCCCTATGTGCCTGCCTGCCCCTTAAGATCTGAGTTGGAGGTCTTCTTTGGGAGCCCTCCTTGAAGGGAGATTAGGAGGGTGGCTACCTGGAGAAGGGCCTTCTCTGTGGTGGCACCCTGGTTATGGAATATGCTCCCCATGTTTGCCTGGCGCTGACACTCTATTCTTTTTGGTGCCAGGCCAAAACCTTTTTATTTTTGTAGTATTTTAAAGTTTAGATTGTTATTTTAATTGGGCTTTTATTGTACAGAATGGATGGTGTGCTTTACTTTGTTTTATTATAAGACTGTCCCAAGACTATTTGGTAGTAGATGGTAACAAAAAGTTTTAAATAAATAAATATTTCTGCCAAGGCACATGATTCTTAATGCCCTACCCACATACACACTTAATCCCACACAAGTACTCCTTTGTTCCTCTTATGCTAAACTCACCACATTTAGTTACATCATAAAATAATTTACAGTCATTGTTACTTTATTCACTGACCTTTCTACTTCAATCATCCAAGGGGACAATTAATACTCGTAAAACACGAGGCAAGGCTACAACACTGCATAGTTTTCACAGGATGAGTTACAGAGCCAGGCAAGAAACACAGGCACATCACCCCCATCCCAGCTCTGAAATGGGCCCAAGTATCCCACACATAGCTATGCAATATGAGCCATGAAACCATGGAAGCATGCAACGTCATTTGACAACTATTGTTTTGGTGGGCAAGTCTTGAAGAAGCATAATTAAATTCCAATGCTAGATAAACAGAATTGCTTTTAACTAGTAGAAACCTCAAGTAAAACTAGTCAGGACTGAACATTTTAGCTTCAGAACTATCTTCTTGTTAAATATATTCAGTATACTATCATAAAGCAAACTCTTTTCAGATGACAGTAAAGACATAGATTCATTGTCGGATGATCCCACCCACAACAGCAATCAGAATAACAGCAATTGTTCCTCTCCATCTCGAATGTCTGATTCGGTTTCTCTAAATACTGACAGTAGCCATGAAGCATCACTGTGCTCTCCGGAAAAAGAAACTAACATGCCTGTCAATTCCAAAATCAGGTTTGAGACATACTATTCAATAAAATGTTTTGGAAAATTGACTAAATGTTTTATTTTCTGTTTTTGTGCTGATTTCTTGAATAACTTTTTAAAATGTTGACATGTATTTTAGAAATTAAATTTCAGTCATACTGTTTCCCATAAAATTATAAAAAATTAAGATCAGTTGTTAGCTCCAGTTGTTTGGCCACACTTCTTATGGTGTGATTTGTTCTTTTATCCTGATATGGGATTACATGTAAGAGAAGCCCAGTAGTCTCATTCCATGGTGAAGGAAGAAGATGAGGGAAGGAACTGCTTTTACTTACCCATAATGATTTCACCAGAATTCCAGATTATGGTAGAGGATGGAGACAACTGTAGTCATCATCAACTGGTTCTGCCTCTGTTGACTTGCCATCAAAAACAAAGAACAGTTGACTCTTGTTCTCATCCCTACTTCCTCACTGCTATGGACAAGGGAGGGCTGCTGTCCCATTTTGTCAGAATAGTTGTAATTGATGATAGCTAAATCAATAGCATGAATAGAGAGAGGAAATTTTTATAGCACTGGAGTGTTTTGCTTTTCATATTGGCTTTTTGTTTTTGTATCTTAAATTTTATCAAAATTTTAAATGCCCAAAGAGCTTCAACTATTGAGCAATATAAAAATGAAATGAATAAATGCATGACCAGATGACATGGACCAGTTTAGGTAATTTAAATGGCAACAGCTTCATTCATATTACTACCAAAAGTTGTGTGTGCTTTGAAGATAATTTCTGTATTGTAATAATGACCTCATTGATAACTATAGCCTATATAGTTTAGATTTTGGTAAGGTCGCTATACACACACACACATGCACACAGAGGGTTGAATCCAGACATAGAGGATGTCCATTTAAAGTAATAATCAACCTGTCGCTTTGTTTTCAATGGATCTACTCTGGCTCTACCCACTGTGTCTAAAGATGCATTTATTTAGATTGCATAAAATATAAATGATGAGACTTGATACTGATGGTAGTCATGACGTTAATCAGTAATGTTCTTTTTCTATTCAATTTAACAATTACACTTTTCTTTCAGGCAAGATGAAAATTCTAATAGTCTTTTACAAAATGGAGGCGACCTAAATGTCACAGCAGAAGAAAAACTGGATACTCAAGATAAAGTTACAAACTTCACTGAATTCAGATTAAATATTGAAGAGAGATTAGCTTTGATAGAGAAGGGTGTTGAGCTTAATAGTGCTATTGATGAGTCTCATAAATTACACCAAATTAACATGAATATCTCCAAATTGAATGATGAGGAAGTAATAAAACCAAATGTAGTAGAAGAAATAAAAACACTGGACATATCAGTTAAGGGCTTTTTAAACAATAACGTGAAAGAAGAAATTGGGCACATGGAAAATGGAAATAAATATTCTAATATGTGTCCTATGAATAATGTCAATGGACATTCTGAGGAAGTGCCTCACTCCACGGGAAAATCAGAGCTAAAGAGAAGTGCTACCATAGAAACAGATTCTTCTTCGGAAATGTGTCTTTCAAAGAGCACTGAAGATTTATCTCCACAGAGGAGTGGGCCAGTTGTGAAATCGCATAGCATAACTAACATGGAGACAGGTGCTCTGAAAACCTATGATATTATCAATGACAATGGATCCCAAGAGCCAAATTCACTAGTAAAATCAGCAGCTGTGGCTTCAGATGGAAAAAATATAGTCCGGAGCAAGTCAGCTACTCTCCTGTATGACCAGCCATTACAAGTATATCCAGGCTGTTCATCATCATCTGATTTACTATCTACAAAAACAGTGTTCAAGTTTGATTCAAATCATAATCCAGAAGGTATGAATGTAATAAGAGGACAAGGAACTAATGCCTCACAACCATTCAGTACTCCTCAGTATAATATCCAATATAGCAGCAGTATGGCAGCCAAAGAATCCTTATGGCCCCTGAAACAAAACACGCTAGTTGAACAAAGTTGCTTGCCTCAGCGTTTGCCAAGGTCAGATACTACAGATAGCTGCAACTCTGTGAAGCATTCTGCCAACATGAATTTCTCTAACCATAACAATGTTAGAGCAAGTGCTGCATATACTATGCATCAGAGGATGGGTGGAAGACATATGGAAATGTGGGCTGCTCCACCAAATGACAGACTTGTTTCTGCAGCTGCCCGAAATACTCTTCAGCGGCAGAGCAGTAGCTCTTCCACTGCTTCAATGAACATTGGTGATTCTGGACCTCAACGGCGTCCTCAGATTCCTGAGGGGGATTATTTAACATACAGGGATTTGCACTCAATGGGAAGAGTCCCACCAATAATGTCAGGGCCACAAAGACCTCTTTCTGCAAGAACCTATAGTGTGGATGGGCCAAATGTACCTCGACCACAGAGTGCTCGCCCTTCAGCAAATGAAATACCAGAGAGAACTATGTCAGTTAGTGATTTCAATTACTCAAGGACTAGTCCTACTAAAAGAACAAACCCAAGAGTTAACTCTGAACACTCTCTGTTAGATGCTCCAGGAAAAAGCAAAGTCCCTCATGACTGGAGGGAACAAGTGCTGCGACACATTGAGGCCAAAAAGTTAGAAAAGGTAAGTATCTGTACGAGCTCTCTTTCAACTTGCCATCTTCTTCTTGATTAAACCTATAAAAGCCTAGAATTTAAGGAATGCATGTTCTCCAGTCATGATAGTGTGCTTTGAAATTTCAGTAATTTCTCTACATGCATAAGCACATGTTCCTAGGATGCAAGAGAAACTATTTTTTCCAGTATCCAGCTACACACAGTAACAGTTCCTATGTGACATCCAGTTTTGTTTAGAAGAGTGAACTCCTAAAGGATCTAGGAAGTTTGTTTGCCATGAAGTTTAGTAAATGGAAAGTGGAAAGGGGAGGTACTTCATACGGTGCTAGAGTAGCACTGGTTACTGCTTTGGCATTGCTGGGCCGTGCACCACTTCAATCACATTGCAATAGCTGGCTGATTGGTGTCCTGTGAAAGCAGTATGGGAAAAGAACTTCCTAAATTAGTGCCATGCCTGGAGGTGATAGCACCACTGTTGGAGCTCTTCATATTATTTAGCACAGATGTTACTGAAGAAGCAGTTGTGTTCTTTCAGGAAAACACAGATCAGTCCTTCCTTGACATTTAGTCAAGCTAACACTTTTATCTGCCAACCAAGTGATGTTCAGTTTGCAGTGGTATCAAGCTTCAGACCTATAGGAAAAATCCAGCCCTGTGGGGATACCCAAATAGTCATATGTTGGCTCCATGTCCCATCCCCTTGCCAGTATTAAGAAATATTTTTGGGTTTTGCAAATTCTCTCCTCACAGTTCTGAAAGGTTGAAATGCTTCTCCTAAGGCTTAACTACTGGCAGTAATAACTTTAGGCTAAAATATGCTGGTATTTTGTCTTTGTCTTCAGCCTTGCTTATCATTGGAATGTAGCCCCCAAGGCCTTATCTTAAAGTGGAGTTTACCCTTGGTCTGATAACTCTAGCTCTATCAATATCTTTGTTATGCTGGTTCACATGAAATCATTTCATCAAGCCTCTACTTTGTTCCCAGGTAGTCTGTACTTAATTTGGTTGGTGAGAGATAGCAAAGCCCCTGTGTGCATTTAAAAAAAAAACCCATTCACAAATTGGGTCTGCATCAAAATCAAATTTCATGAGCGAGTTTTGCTCTCTTGCAGTATCTCTCCTCTCCCAGGCACCACACACACATGGAGAGGGAGGGTTTACTGTAGCAAATTTTACTTTTAGACTTGTCTGTTATCCTACTGGAGATGTTAGAAGGCTTTGATATTAGTTAGCATGTTTAAGTAAAGGATGTTCTTTTTTCACTTAACTTATTCTGCATTGTTAATATCAAATCTTATGTTGAATTACTAGTACTTTTGAAATATTAGTGTGTTGCGTGATTTACACATTACTTGCTGCTTGTGTTGAGTGTTGCATGCAAGAACTGCACAGGAGGTAATATCAGGACAGACTTGTAGATAGTTTATTTTGTGAGTTTGTTTCCCCTCAAAATGAAGTCTACTCCATAGATATCTCCCTTGTTGTTCTGGAGCAGTTTTATGTAGAGTATTTTGTAAATAAATGTATGCATACCTTTAAAAATAGTAACTAAGAATTACTTCTACTGTAAACTATTATACAACTACAATAACTTGGAATTCCAAATGAATGTCTGTGCAACAGAAATTTAAGAGGTTATTGTAATACCTCTTACATAATTGCTATCATAGTAATATTTTATGCAACAAATAGTAAGATATTGTTATATTTGAACAAGGAACTTACACAGTGATATGGAAAACAGGGAATAGCAAGTATTTCCACTATGTATCTAATTAGATATCTTCAAGTATCTATTCAGTGTCATGTCTGCAGATTTGACTTGCCTTACTCCAGTTTGCATTGAGCAATTAATTACATTACTATTTTGTTTTCAGCTGGCTGTTAAGGATAGAATAGAATGAGACAGATGTAGAATTGGAAGGGGTCCATAAGGTCAACAAGTCCAACCCCTATCCCACTTCCACCTGTGGTCACCCATCCAGCTGCAGGCCCACCACTTTCTAGCTTAGAAAGGGTGACTTGACATGTTAGCTTTTAATGTATGTGGGTAAAATCAGCTTGCACTGTAAAATTCAGTTTTTAATTCATTTAAAGAGGAACAAAAAGGTCTTAAATTTCTGAATTAGCCTTACTTACATCTCACATTTCCCAAGAGGCAAAAGTGGGGATCAAAGACACATTGCTAGCTGTATTTGCTTCTCAACTGGAAGAGGAATAAATTGACTGAGAAGTTACCTTGAGATAGCAACTCAGTTGGAAGCCAGCTTCATTCAGCCTTTACTATTCCTGAGTGAAAAATATAAATGCCAACCGAAGTCAGTTGAGCAGATGGATCAGCTAATATGATAATTCATTGAATTCACTATCTAGTTGCATGGTAGTGTATGAATGTTTGTGAAGAGAGAATTTCAGGGTCTAAGTCTGTACCTTATCAAAGTTTGTATTCATATATAACTCTAAAGTGATATGGAAATGAGGTTGGGAAAGGCTTGGACTCTCATTTTCTCTTCTTCCCTTACTTCCAGTACAGTAGAAAATCAAGCATTTTCTTCCAGTTTCAACTAACTGTGACTTGCTGTTATGTCCACATCAGGACATATTGTGACTGATTTTAACCATGGTTTATCTGAATAAGCCAAGATCATTAAATCATTGTTTGAATTTCACTTGTCTAGATAAACCTGAGCACAGTTAGGTTTGGACAAACTGGAGTTAGTTGAGTTAGTCAAATTTAAGTTGTTTAAAAGTTAAAGCAAATGCTTCCTCATAGTTAATTCTTGTAGCACTAAACTGTATAATTATGTATAAATTGAAGATGTGCTAGTGTTACTGTTGAAAAAGCACACAGCATGCACATATTTTATACTGTTATACATCCATGTGAAGTAGTTTATTTTAATCACTCCAGAGAAACACACTGCAAATTTCTGGCATCAGTCATACTTCAGTTTTTGTATATGTTGTAGACAAATGCTATAGCTGCCCCTATTTTGTGGGGGAAATACAGCTAAAATACATTAGAACTAAAAGAAAATCATACAGTTAAAATAATGCTATAATATAACACATCCATGCATTCCACAACTGGGACCATTAGATACATGCCAAATCATTTGCTGTTTCAAGAAGCTCTGTCCCCCTTCCAAAAATGACTGTCATGGAGGTTCAAAACCCATCCAGTTTATTAGCACATACTCAATAAATGGTTCCCAAATATCTTCAAAATTATTCTTTTATATATATAGCCTTTTATCTTTTTATTATCACAAGTTAATCTATCATTAGCCATATTCCAAACTTTACTGTACCAATCACCCAATTGATAATTACGTTTTACTTTTCAATTCTTTACTATAATTAATCTGTTTTTAATATATTTTTATTAATACTTTAATATTTCATCTCAGTTGTTCTCTATCAAATATTGACTATAATGCAATTTCAGGATTTACTTCAATATTTAAATTCTTTATTTTACTGCTTTAAAAACCTCTTTCCAAAATGTAATTATATATTCACATTCCTGCCACATATGGAAATATGTATCCACTCTCCAACGACCTCTCCAACATAACATAGAATATTTGCTATCTGATTTTTTACTGGAGTTAAGTACTATTTCCATAATAGTTTATAAATTTTTTTCTTTATTCTTACTGACATACATTTTAATATCCTCTTATCCCCCTTATTTTTCCTTACTAGTATTCCTTCTTAAATCTGTTTTCCATGTTGCTTTAAGAGAATCATATTGATACTTGTCTTTTAATATCCTATGAATTTTACTTAGTATTCCTTTCATCTGTGTATTGTCTTGTTTTTCATTTTCTACTATCTTCAAATTACTAGTCTTGTTTCTTAAATAATACTTAATGCTTAGCTTAATGATAGTTTATAAAGCACCCATATTCTCACTTGTAATACAGGCAGCAAGTAAGGAACCGAGTTCCTTTCTTGAGAAAATGGAAATTCATCTTTAAGTTGAATTTGTATGAGTGGGATTACATACTGTCTGCCCTTCACATTAAAGTGGAAAAATCATGAATATCTCTACCCCCTTGCCCAAACTCACCACTGCTGCCTCTGCATCAAGGAAATACTGGGGAAATTTCCCTCTCTGGACAGGTGGGGCAGGAAGGCCTCCAAAATGGGGGCCTTCCCCCTCGCCCTTTTCAATTCCTCTCTTTCTGTAGTAATGCTTTGGAGGCTCTCCTTCGCTTCCCGTTCACTTCGCGCCTCTCAGTAGTGGTGATGGTTTTCCACATAATTTTTTTTTTTTAAATGGCTTTATGGCAATTTGTTTGTAAGCATCAGTTGTTTGTAAGTTGGACATTTGTAACTTTGGGGACCAGCTGTAGTTCTCTTTGAAAAAATCATTTAACAGGACCATTTTACATACAAAACCTTTATTTTTAGTACCAATAGTATGATATACACAGGTTTTTTTGGACTATAACTCTGGTTATTTTAAATGTGCCCCTGTAAAATTGAAATTGGTAAAGTTCACATCAGGATTAAAAAAAATTCTGCATGTGAAACTGGTAGAAAAGGCATTAAAATAATTTAGGCCTAAGTACTCAGATTAAGTTCAGAGTTTGCTTCACATGCAAGAACTTTATCATATTTTAATGTCATAAACCTCAGTAAGATTAACAGGTCCATAGCAATAAATTGAGGAACAGATGCTGTCATGCCCTAATCTTCATAACAAGAAACCATTTGCACCCAACCTGAAGAAGTAAACCTAACCTCCAGTATTCTGAACTGAAGTAGTAAATCAGACTGTACTGATGCCATTTTTAATAGTATTTTTATCCTGTGTATTGCATTCACTGAAAGTTAAAAAACAAGAACACTCTAGCATATCAAGAAATAACTTCTGTCCCAGTTCACTCAGTGGTTGTTTGCTTGCTGCAGATTTTTTTAATTATTTAAGGAAACTTCTAAATATATGATGCTTCCACTCCCTGTCTGAAATGATAAGCCTGTTCTACAGTGTCATGACCTTTCCACCTCAGTCTGCTTCATGAATAGAGTGAGTTAATTTTAATACTATGTTTTTAGGCTCCACCTAAAATACTGCAGTCATAGCAGAGTTACTGCACTCAATCTGCTTTCTATCCCATTTTGGCATGTCAGAAACCCCAGAACTAGAAAAATTCCCAATAAGTGTATATTCCAAAGCCAGTAAAGCCCCAAATCATACGAGGAGTCACAATAGACTGGAAAGCAGACTGCTTCTGTACCAGCCTGACATTTATTAAGAGCTTTAACAGAGGCAACAATGAGCCCTGAAGCACAATCTGTTAGGACCTAGAGGGACTCTTCAAGATCTACATCCAGGCTTTGAAAGGAAAAGGAAAGCCCATCTTGTCACTTCTTTAAAGGTATTTTACATCATTTTTAGGGAAGATTTTGGTTAGAAGTTGTTTTCATAGATCCACTGGGGATATTTTGATTATTCTTACCTTCTGCTGTTTTTATTTTTCCCCTATGGCATCTTTTTTCTTGCTTCACTGTTTTAATTTATTACCCTTCGCTGCCCTGAAGTCTTTTTGAAGTCTAACTCAGCATCCTTTTTCTCTTCTGAGAAACTGATGGATGCCAAGGATTCGATCCTATGGTCTGCATGCATAAGAAATGCAGGATTGTGAGTTCAGAGCCCTCTATCTATGCTATGTCCTGCTGGCAAAAGGAGAAGTGGGTTTGCCTTTGTTCTTCCACTTAAAAAAGATAAACCCCACCTTGTTAAGCTTCTGAGTCCATCTAGCTGATATCTTTCAGAGGGCAGGGAGGGGAGGACAATTGCCATACCTCACTGTGTATCTCAGCCTTTACCCTCTACCATCATGGCCCCTTTTCTCCAATTCCATTGATGGTAAGAAAAGCTTTCCATGGTGGGTGCAATGGGGTGGAGGAGGAGAAAGGGAAGATCCACAATCAAATCTTTCCTCTGCTCCTTGCTCTGTCGATTGGAACAGCAGAGCAGAGCTGATCCTAAGCATCCTGTAGTGCTCCAGGAACTGTCTATGGGTCATAGGATTGCTCTCTGAGAATATTAGCCTATTTTAGCCTATCATCTAATTATCCAGCAGCTGTTAAAGAAACTGTGATCACTTTTTAATATTTTGAGCAATAGACTGATTCACTTTTCAAGTGAGCAAAGATTGCAAAGATTATGCCTTTAATGTTTGTTTTATCTTTTGTTTTGGCCTTTATTCACAAAATCTTTGAATCTTGGAGGTTTGAATGAATATCACGATGTCAAATTTATCAATGGAATGTGATACCACTTTAAAAAACATAGATCTGCATTGCACTGTAGTGAAAGTTCTAAACTTTAAAATAATGTCCTGTATCATATTCTGTATTTGGAGTAAATATATTAAACTTTAGTTATCCTAAATTTGTTCTTGTGTTTGAAAGACCAAAAAAGAAAGAAGGAAAGCAGAAATATGATGAGATTATTCTTTTACTTAAAATATTTTTCTAGAAAGGTGTACTCATCCTATTTCTGTCAACATAACTGCCCATTGAGTATGTTGACAGTGATAAATATACCTCTTTTCCTTAGCCATATGCACATTTTCATGCAATTTAGGTGCACATTATGTCAGGCTGCATGTTTGGTTACACTAAGAGACCACATGTATGTCACTGAGAATTTTGAGTCACGATGGATGTTGCCCTTTGTGTGCATGATTTTTTTTCTTGCATGATATGCAATGTATATGTCTGTACCGACTCTATGTATAACATGTCCTGTGGTTTATGCATGCTGCACTAATCTCTGTTATCTGTCCCCTCTTTATTCAGAGCATGCTGTCTAGGTCCTTTAATTCCAGTTATGCTCCAGTTAGCAGCTTTCACTATGGCAGCTCTAGGGATCTGCATGGCAGCCAAGGCAATGTTGCCTTGAGTATTGCAGACAGAAGAAGTTCTGGTGTTCACATTGTTCGTGTGAGTACATGCATACAAAGATGATTGTTAGTTAAAAAAAAAATGGAAAGGGCATGTGATTTGTCTTTACACTTGTGTACTCTTGTAATTGTGTAATTCTATATTGTGGCTGATTCTACCTGTTATTGTAACGTAGTTCAATAATGGCAATTATTGAAACGTTTTCCCTTTGATAGTTCTGAGTTTTATGCTAAAGCATCAGAGGTGGCCAGTTCTGAAAGCAGAACATAAAGTATCATCTATATTTTAAAAGAGTAATTCTGTCTGTCTTACTCATGAGTCAGCTGATAGCCATATAAATATAAAGAAGAAATCTATCCCTAGATTAAGTTGGCAGGTGACTTTAGGTATTTTCCTCAGTTATGTAAACTATACCTTGAATTGAGCAATGCAGTTCTTGCTTCTTATCCTTCAAACATATCTGTCATTGGTCTAACTTGGTTGTATAATATAAGTTAAAATATAATAATATATATAATAAGTTAAATAAATTGGAGTAGTGATTTTTATATTTTTCCATTGGCTCACACTGATGTTTTAGCATCTTTAACACTACACCCCTTGTTATGTTTTTTCCTCTTACTTTAAATTTTGCAATTTGACCAGAAATCCTTTTAACAAGTGAAATTGATGGAATTATGTAAACAGCAATTTTAAACTGTTAATACATAGGTATTGGACAGGAACAGTATTCTTTCTGAGTTTCTTCTAACCCTAAATAATAATGGTATAACTCTTTGTAGTCGTAAATTAATTGTTTATTAGAGTGATCCATTTATCCCCCCTCATTTTTCTTGATTAATATTAACTTGTCTCATATTCCTTTGTGTCCAGGGATACGCTATCTGTTGACAATATCCCTACCCCATTGATCAGACAAGAAGCCCTGACTTCTTTTTGATGCTTTCCTTCTAGTAGTTAGTCTGTTTCCAAGTCACAATGCTTCTCTGTGTACAACACTGTAAAATATGACCCTCTTAGCAAAAAACCCAGTTTACATCAGTCATTTCTCACCTTAACAAGGCTTTGGCTCTTTGTATTGTCACACCTCACCCTTCTCATGTCTTTGCCACTAAGATTACTCACCTATCTTTATTCAAATCATTCCTTCTTTCAAATACTTCTGCTGGCTCCTTGCCCACTTCTATATCCTGTTCAGCCATTTTGGCTGTATTCTCCTGTATCTTCAATATTTGCATTGTGAACTTCACTTCTGGAAGTCCATCACTCAGCCAGTCAAAGCTGTGTTATTCAATTACATTTTTCTTTGCTTTTCACTGCTACCTCTTATGCCTCCCATGTGACCTTTGACTTCATCCCAGAGTGAAATGAAGTATAAGGACATGTAATTGAACTGAAACAGTCTTCCTTTGTTCCCATTATCTTCATCTTTTTTTTCTTTTTCCATACCCTTTGTTGCATTGCATAATACAAGATTTACACTGTAAGTTTCTTGGAAGAGGAATGCATCTTTTTATTTTAGCTAATGGTGCATGTACACTGATACTGCATCATCATTGTCACTTGTGCTATAGAGTTCACTGTGGGTCTGTGTTGAGGCATTTTGGAATATGTTTGCAGTGCAGTAAGAATGACTGCCCTGTCCCCCTCTGCCTTTCAATTTATGGGGGGAAGTAAGTAAAAGACATTATGCTCAGTTTGTATTCATACAAATAGTTAGCTTACTTTAGTTTACTTTAATCCTTTTAAAATATAGTAGTTTACTTTAATCCTTTTAAAACATAGGAAGCAGCATTGGGTAAACAACGTGAACCAAAAAGGAGGTTAAATCTAGCAAAATGAAGTTAATAAAGGTTATTGTATCATATTTGCACATTCATAAACAGGAACTGTTTTGTGAATAGATTTATTATGTAATCCTGGATCTTTCCAAAGTTTCAGTATTTTGCAAAAGCCAGGGTTATAATATTTATAGCCATCTTGGGATAATTCAGTTATATTATTTAATATACCTAAGCAATGTGTGTGACATTCTTCTTTGTGGTCTTTGTACATCACACGTATGGGCTTTGCACCTGCCTGGAAGGGTCTGTTATAGCTAAGTGTTCATTTGGGTGGAAGCCTGTCCCCTTCCTAACTGGGGATGGAGACATTCAATTCTCATTTCTTCCATTCAGCCTCTCAACAGCCCCCAGGGTCTACATGAAATGCATGGTGGTGATCAGCAGACGTCTTTGGCTCTAGGAATACCTTGATGACTGGCTGCTGGTGGCCCTATCTAGGACAGAATTGCAACATTCGGTCTACGCCACCTGCTAACTACTACAAACACTGGGACTATGCTTAAATCATGACAAATCTGTTCTTTCCCCTTTCCAGCCCACACTTTTCATAGGGTCTCACCTTGACTTGACTTCAGTGAAAGCTCCCCTCCCAGAATCCAGAGCAGCAGTGCTGTGCAACCTAGCAGCTGACCTCAGTGCAAGCGAGTACACCATGACTCATGATAATCAGAAACACCTCGGCCTCTGGCTGCCACAGTAGTGGTGGTCCACTTTGCCAGACTGCAGATGAGACCTCTATAGCTGTGAATGGTCCACAGCTACCATGCAGAAGACAAACCCCACAGCACCTTCCTGAACATCCTGCCCTCTGTTCAGAACAGCTTACTGTGGTGGACCACCCCACACAATCTTGCAGCAGGCATCAGCTTCCTTCCCCCAGAGCCTATGATTTCTGTCACTATAGATGTCTCCAACACAGGCTGTGCAGCACACAGCGGCAACCTGCAAACCCAGGGGATCACCGAGAAGCCAGCCACCATTACATTTTCCTATTGATGCTGGCTGTCCACAAGGCATTAATCTCCTTCCAGACCTCCCTGTGCAGTCAGCACATAGCGAGTGCTACAAAGAATAGTACCATAATGTATAATATCAACAAGCAGGGAAGCACATGGTACATACCGTTCACTAAACCTGTCATAACCATCTGGGACTGCTGCTTCATCAGAGACTTTATAATCACGGTGATCCACATGTCAGGCAAACAAAGTCCTGGCAGACACCCTCAGCTGTGAAAGTCTAGACCCAAATGAGTGGCAGCTGAAAGAGATGGTCCTCTGCAAGTGGGGGATGCCATTAGTGGATCTCTTTGCCACAGCCCACAAAACAACATGCTTCCCGTTCTGCTTCAGGGTGGGACAGGGAATTGGCTTCCTTGGTGATGCCTTCCTCCTCAAATGGAGTAGGACCCTGTTCCACATTTTTCCACCATTCCTGTGGATCGCTAGGCTGATCGCCAAAATCTAGAAGGATGGGACAGACCGCATCCTCATCTTTCACTGGTGGCTGAGGCAACCATGGTTTGCCCAGCTTCTTCAGCTCTCTGAGGGGAACTTTACTTGCCTCCCAGACTCTCAGGAGCTAGCCTCACAAGACTGGGACTGAGTCTTTCATCCAGATGTTGCAACCCTGTGTCTCACAGGCTGGAAAATTGTCTTCTAGAATGAGACATCCATGACAGGGGGAGTGCCCCTACTACCCAAAGTATTATTTCTACTAGACACACCCACAGGGAGATCCTAATCAGCAAACTGGAATGCTTTCACAGCCTTCATGCATCAGGAAGGATTTGACCCACAAAGGTCCACCATTGAACATCCACCACTTCTGGGATGGCCTTAGCTCCTCCTTAATTCATGTATACCTCTTGTCATTCAGTATTCAAGGGGACATCTGTCTTCACACACACCCTGCCACACATATTCCTGAGGGGACTCCACAACACTGCTTCTTCCACTCAACCCTACATAGCCTGTTGTGGAGGTTGTGTTATAGACCTTCACCAGGAAACCCTTTGAACACTTGGCTGCAACCAGTCTATGCTTCCTGTCCTGGAAGGTGGCCTCTCTAGTGACCATCACATTGGCCTGCCACACCAGTGAGCTCTGTGCCCTCCGGGTAGACCCACCATACCTAAACTTCCACAGGAACAAGGCAGTTCTTTGTCTGGACCCAATCTTGTGGTCCCAGGTCATCTCACTCTTCCACCCCAATCAGGACATCATTCCCTGACTTCTTCACCACATCCAGCCCAATAGAATATACCCTGCACCCACTCAGTGTCAGGAAAGCCCTTGCCTTCTGCAAATCCAGAATTGAGATGTTCCACCACTTGCCAAGACTGTTCATATGCTATGACAACCAGAAGAAAGCCGATCCTCTCCCCTCACAGAGACTATCCAAATGGATATCCAACACCATCAGTTTGGCATACAAGATGGCAGGCCTTCACCTCCCTACACGACCAAAGGCCACCCACTCCCCATGAGCATTGGCTACATCCATGGCCCTCCTTACCAGGATTCCCCTGCAAGACGTCTGAAAAGTGGCCATGTGGTCCATGCCCTCAACATTCATCAGACACTACTGGCTGAACATCCGTGTAAGGGCAGACTGCTCTTTTAGCAGGGCAGTCCTTTCCTCCATTCTACAGTGACAACAGCATCCCATATGTATGATGCATACAATCCATGAAGAAAAAAGGCAGGTTGCTCATCTGTAATTGTCATTCTTTGAGTGGTTATCTGTGCATTCACACAAGCCACCCTCTGGCCCCACTTGCTGCCATTCTTCCAACATTTGCCTCCTTACTTTCCATGGATACTTGGGGCTGGACTGGATCAGGGTCTTTTTTGCCTTCCCTCAGTCCTGAGATCCATGGCAGTCTACTTAGGAAATGAGGGGATAGGTGGTAGCCTCTCCCCACACTTCCTGGGAATAGGAAGGGGAGGGGCTTCTGCCAAAATGAGGCTTGGGCTATAGAAGTTTCCTGACAATAGGCTCTGCACAGGTGCAAAGTCATATGTATGAATGCACAGGTGACCATTTGAAGAACAACAGGTAAAGGTAAGCACTATGCTTTCATGAACAAAATCAGTAATTCTGGTATGTGTTACTTTGCAGTAGAAATGTTTATGTATTTTTGTTTATCATTTTGTAGCATCCCCAAACATCCACACCGGTAGATCAATGTCAAGAGGATATATTCATTTCAGGACAGCAGAACTATTCACCTGCCACACTTAGTCTCAAGGAAGTTGCTTCAGAAAGCATTAAAAAAATTCCTGTACAGGTAATAAGTTAGTTCCTTAACAATCTATAAATACGTGATTTGGATGCAAAGATCTGATTGAACATTATGTTAAACATTATGTTTAGTGTTGTGTGCAGACTCTTCAAGGTCACATGATTCTCCCTCTCCTTTGGTACAACTTGGCAGAGATGGGAAAATGTATGCCTGTTTTCAATTAACTGTATATGTTCATACCTGAAATTGATTATCTGTACTGCTTTAACTTTAAATTGTGGTTTAAAGTTGGTTTGGTTCCTTAGACCATTGGTAATAGTGATCACAGTTGCCTGTGTCCAGATACAATAGTATTGGCAGTTAGCTTAAACATGGAAATGTCTCTTCCAACATCTTTGCAGTTGCTCCTAGAAGAGAAGAGAGGAACTCATGAGTCCAAACTAGTCTAGATAACTATACTTTAGTGTTGCTTCCAAACAAGATGGTTGTTTAAGTGCAAGTGCTACACATAAAAAGAACAACTTTTTACATAGCTAAATGTAAGTCTGAATTAGCTGCTTCACTCAAGATAATTCCATGCATTTGTAGTGACTAAATTAATGTTAAATATCAGTAAATTTAGTTAAGCATAAAGGGCACATTTTAAAATACAGAACATGATCCACTGTTATTCAGTGCAATTCTATGCATATCTCAGAATTAAGACCCACTGAAGTGAAGTTTTTATACAATCACAGCTTCAATTAATGTTTTGCTTTATTGGGAAGGCCCAACTACAGTGTTTGTTCAGTTATCCAAACTTGCTAACTTCCACAAAATAGAGAAGGTAATAATTCAAGTAATGTATTAAAGCAACAGGTTGAAATCAGTGGGAATGAATTTAGTCTGCTCTTTCATGCTGGCTCCAATCCAGCATGCCTTAAGCACTATTACATTTTGTTCATACTTATGAAGAAGGGAAAAGTTATTGTGTCCTTCTTAATTAAAATAACAATTGTAGATATTCACTGAACTTGCTGAAGGTTGTTTATGGCTATTGTCTACTAATTTTAAAACGTAATGATCAATGAATGAAGAAGCTGGGAATATACATGGACATCCGTGTACTTACAGAAGTATCTTAGAACATGACTCAACCTCTTACATTAAATCTTTCTAAAACTTCCTACTCTCCCCCATTGCTTTTATTTGCATTTATTGACACCCATTTTCATCATCTACCTGGTTAACTACATAGATCAGAGTGTTTTGGTTTATTCTTTGCTATATTCAGTTTTGTAGAATATAATCTTTCATTATCTGAGCACTGCTACACTTTTTCTGGATATGAATTATCCCTGGTGGAAATAACATTGCAATACATTGGGAAATTCTCAGTCCTTCTGCAGTGACTGATTAAAAACTGTAAAATCTATGAACATTTTCACCAGAATTCTCAGCTGAAATGAATTAATTTAACCCTTTATGAGGCTATCTAGTCTGTAGTAGGCAGAAATGGGAAAATATGTATTGTTCCAGTTTGTTTTCTTTTACAGAATACAGTGTACATATTGTAAATCAACATACCTTGTAAATATTACTGAACTATTAACTGAGCAAAAAACATAAAAAAGTTGAAAAAGACAAATTATATTCTTGGGTTGCTTAAAGATGTTTCACTTACTCAGGTACCTTTGACGAATGGGCAGATGTGCCAACCTCCAAGACCTCAAGCAAATTATAGTCAAGTCCATCATACTGCACCTCTTACATCTGTAGCAAGACATCCTTCCCGAGAACAACTGATTGATTATTTGATGCTTAAAGTTGCCCATCAGCCTCCCTATAGTCAGTCCCAAGGTCCATCCAGGCAGTGCCATGAGCTCACAAAGCAGGAGGTAAGGGTCAAAATTATGTCTCTGAAACAAGCTCTCAGATTGTTGTTAAAATACACTGCCAGCTTTTAGTGCTGATATCTTAACTCAATATATATCCCACCTTTTTGCCAGACAAGTGGTGAAGTTGGGTAACAATGGTGAAATACAAATAAAAACAAACTCCCTCAATTAAAAACATAATTAAAATAAACAACCAAAATATCACCCACCAAATTAAATCCTCCTTCCACAGCAACCCAACTTTTGCTTAAAGGGGTTGCTTAAATGAAACCTTTCTACCTACTTTTGGAATGACAGCAGAGTGCAAACTAACCTAACTGGCCTCAACAGGAAGCTACAGAGCCTGGTTGTGCCCACTGAGAAGGCTTCCTTGCATTTTCACTAAACTTGCCTCTGACAGTGGCTGGAATGAGAGAAGCTCCCCCCTACACGCACACTATCACCATCACAAAGATCTTAAAACCTGGTAGGCACATACAGAAAATATGATCTTCCAAATAGCCTTGCTTCAACCTTATCGGGTTTTATGGGTCATAACTGACTCTTAGAATTTTGCCTGGAAACAGAGCAGTAGCCAGTGAAGTTGTGGTAATGAGGAAGTCACCCACTCCACATAACTGGCCCTGGCCAAAGGTCTGACTGTGGTATTCTAAACTTGCTGGCATTTCCATACAATTTTCAAAGGCACCTCCACATAAATCTTGTCACATTAGCTCAATAGGCACAGTTTTCCAAGTACCACAAGGGTGTACTTTGCTATATGTTTTACTGTGGGCCTTTTGTCTGTCAGGCCCAAATGAAAGTGGCTTGTGGTCTTTCTACAGCTGTTACAGTCCATGCAGTCATAGAAGTTATTCGGGAATTCTACCAAGAGTATACTGCACTTGACGATTTTAAAGCATCAATAAATTACCCCCCAAAGCAAATAAATTTTAAAATAATTAATTTTATGAGTGACTTATAAGCTACTTATTTTCTCAAGACTTGGGCTATATTACATATTCACTTTTCTGTGTTCTGTTCATATTTTAGATTCGAGTAAGAATTGAAAAGGATCCAGAGCTTGGATTTAGTATATCAGGAGGAATTGGTGGTAGAGGAAACCCCTTCAGACCTGATGATGATGTGAGCATTTAAGACAAGCATATATTAAATATACCTTTATATTTTTCTTTTCTGAACCTCTGATACACTGGTCCCGCAATACTATGTTGTGGTGTATTCTTATGTGTAGTAAACATTAACCTTGTTCAAGGTGCTATAAGGAACTATATGGACATTTTCCCCCACCTCCCCCTGCATTCCACTTTTCCGGCTGACACTTAATATTCCACATCTGCTGTGATTTTCCATCTTCATTTGGCTGCTTTGAGATGGAGTTGCTTACCTCCCAAAGGTTTTATCCATTTTGCATTTCTCAAGGTTCCCTTGAACATACTCAGACCTTCTTTTTGTTTCTCATTTCCATTTTCAATTTTACCTCCATTAAAAAAGTGAATTTCCACAAGATGTCAGCATATACCAATATATCATCCTGTTGAAAGTGGAGGAAGCAAATCACATACTATGTCTGTTTCCTGCTCGGGCAACAGTATCTTTTGATGTAGCAAGTACCACCTTTTATTATGCTTTTGTGTCACCAATTGGTGTGACAAGAGCTTTTCAGAGTTTGCTTCATTATGTCTGGTACAAGATGAAGTCATATAGCATGCATCTTTGCATTATATTCTTTCAGCCTTACACACTCTTGATATTCAAATATTTAAAAGGTTGATAGAAGGCAGTGATGCTTTTTTATGATACCCTTCCTATCAGAATTAGAAAGAATAATAACCATCAGTTCCTACTGTGAAAGTAGTTCAACAATGCAGAATGTTGTCCAGAATCACTGGAAGATTTTAAGGAAGAGATTGGATTTGCTTCTCTCAGCTACAGTTTATAGCCTCAGTCTAAAGAAATTGTCTAATAGACGTACCACTTCTACAGGAAATTAGCCAAGAATATTCATAAATCAGTTGATTCAATGCTGTCATCTATCCTTCACATACATTATTTACTGTTCTATCCTATAAGGCACAAATCTTACAATCCTGTGTATAAGTCAAATTAGTTAAAGTATGATAACAGTATTTTGTCAGTTTTATTAACCCAATTGACTTGGAAGACTTTATGTAAAAGACTTATAAATGTTTTACTATTATAAATAAAACTGTTGCCTTTTCGATGTGACTTGGAAGTATTGAGTCCCCATATGCTTCTCCAGGTGAACAGATTTCACAGGATGGTCTATTTCTGACTCTGTGCTAGGGAAGACATAACAGCCAAGTTATGCAGCACTTACAAGTATGCTGGGCTAGCAGAGGATAATAACATGCTGCTAAATAGTAGATAGGTTTAGCTTTCTCACACACGGAACCCATAAGGTCTGTTACATATGCAGGGAATGGCCAGCCTCCCAGTCCTGTGAGTCTTTTGACCAGGTTTTAGCACCTCTACTCACCACACTTGCCATGGCAAGAATGAAACTACTCTTTGACAAATGTAGATTTACCCTTTGGTGAGTGGGATGAGTGGCCAGTGAATAGATAAAGCAAATACAAATTATATCAGAGCTGCTGTGGACATGCAATTAACTGGGGTTGGGAATCAGGACTGAATATGGGACCTAACATATCCTCCCTCTGCATATCTCTACTTCCCTGCACATTTCCCTCTCCCAGTAACTGGGCTCAGCATTATGCATGATAATCTACAACTGGATTTTAAAAAGCATTGATATTCTCTGAACTTTCTCAGTCGCTGTGTTTATGGCATCACAGCCTCTAGGACTGTGGGTCTTTTCGTAGTTCCTAACCTCCAGTATAAAATGTTAGCGATGGAAGTATTGATTTTCATAATACGAACTGTTTCTGTTGTTAACAGTGAATTCAGCATAAACATTTATGTATATTTTAAGCTCAGCTACAATTTCTTTTTCCTATTTACTTGAAGGGTATATTTGTAACCAGGGTACAGCCTGAAGGACCGGCATCTAAATTGCTGCAGCCAGGAGATAAAATTATTCAGGTAATATAATTTGAAGAAATCTGCCAGTTATTTCTGTTGTGGTACTATTACTTTCTCTGCAGAATTGTTTCCCCTTCCAGCTAATTTCTTCTGTCACTTCTGCCCAGACTTTTCAGTTTGCACCATCAGTCAGTCTTTATCCTTATATCTCATTTGCTTTAGTGTTCTATCTGCTTGTTGACCACTTACTTCCAGCCCTGGCTTACACCTTCTATTTGAATCATCATTCATTCTCTGACTGCTCACTCTCATATATAGCAAATGGTATAGCAGCTGTGGAATACAGCATTTCATACTCACAAGTCTGAATGTTCCCTCCTGTTCATCCAGTTTTTTCCTCTGTGTATAGAAAAATGATGTCTTAGGTTGCTTTCACATGGACATTTATTGTTCTATGTGCATGGAAAGTGATGTTTTTCTATAGCAAAATATTCAAACATGTGAGGCTCCCACCTGCAGTCTGAAATTCAACAGTCCAGACACAGGTTTTCATATATTTACTGAGAGAATTAGGCCTCTCTCTGATGGATAATTCTGAAGGTATCAAGATCATCTCCACTTTGAAGTTATTTATTGTTCTTCCTCAGTCACCTTTCTGGCCTGGTTAAACAATATTTTCTACTGCAATGTACTTTACCAGTCCTCAGAATTGCTATTTTTTATGTCCTTCCAAGTCAAAATCCACTGTAATCTTATTTTCTGCTTTCCTTTCTGTCATACCTAACAAGATGATAACATCTTGTTTTTATCAACCTTTTCCATATGACTTAGGATTCCTATCTCATCTCATTAAAATATTTATTTACTGCCATTCATTGAACTAAGATGGTGTACAGAACAAAGTATAAAATACACAGAATAAACATAAGAGCAGCATGTTTAGAAAGGGGATTTCAGAGATAAAAATGTTGCTTAGTGTCAAGATGGCCTCTCTTGGGATAGAATTCCACAAGTAGTGCCCCCATTGAGAAGACTGCCTGTCCCTGACCTGCCTTAGCACCTGCCTTAGCACAAATGGTGAAGTCACCTGGAGGAAAACCTCTGAAGAGCACCACAGGGCAAGGCAGAATGGTATGAGAGTAGGAATTCAAGAGGAATTTGCTTACCTTAAGCTCATATGGGGCTTTTGAACTTCTTTTGAAGCTAGTTGGATGTGATTTATTTTAAATCAACTCAATTTTTCAAACAATAATCCATGGTTGGGGGAGAGGGGTAATCTCTGGTGAGGGAGGCATGGCCATCTGGGTAACTTTGGAGGTTGGATTTGGCCCCAGGCCTGACATTTCCTACCCCAATCTAGATGTAAAAACTTGGATGCAATATTCTGTGCTGCCATTAAGTTTCTGGTAGTGTTCATGGGTAGCCCCATGTAAAATGCGTTTCACTATTTGAACCAGGAAGATACCAGTGCATGGATCACTGTGGCCAGACTATCTTGGTCACAGCTGGTTAATCACCTAAGCTAGACTTAGATGTACCCCTTGCTTGAAAAATCACAGGGAAGTACATGCCTATGCTAATGGGTAAGAGCCTTCCACTCATCTTATTGGAATTCTGTTTCACAGTATTGGCATCATCTAGCCAGGGGTCCTCAAACTTTTTCAACAGGGGGCCAGTTCACTATCTGTCAGACTGTTGGGGGGTTGGACTATAATTTTTTTAAAAAATGAATGAATTCCTATGCACAGTGCACATTAAAAGATTAATTAAAATAAAATAAATTAAAACAAAATTAAAATAAATTAAAAATAATTAACATTTTAAAATTAATTAAAAAATGTTTGCTCGCTTGTTCAGAGAAGGCTGCGGAGGAGGTGTGGGAGCTCCGGCCCCGCTCCGCCTCAACCTGTCCTCCCTGGGCTTGGTGAGGCTGCTGCAGCTTATTCAGAGAAGGACCGCAGCCCGAGAACATGGCTCACATAATTAAAAATAGATTTTAAAACTTATATTTTTCTTACCTTCAGTCCTTTCTTAACATCTTCATCTCTCTCTCTCTTCCGCCCAACTCTGTTTCCTGCTCCGTATTCCCACTCTGTATATGCATGCAATGGGGGGGGGAGCTGGCACATGCGTAGTTGAGCTGTTACAATTTGACACATGTGCTGCCTCTGCTCAGTTTCAAAGAATGCCTGCACTGGCTCAGAGCTTTTGGACTTGCTCGGAGATCGTTTTCTCTGAGTGAGTCCAAAACCTCTGAGGTGGGCCGGATGCGGGCTGTAGTTTGCGGATCCATGATCTAGCCCTTTACTGAGTTCAGGCCAGTCTAACCACCTGAATCTGATGACAAGAAGAAATAGAATGGAATGTGATCACATTATTCCATAACCAGTTCATCAGATGTTTCCCTAAAGTGGCATCATAGAGATGTTTAAGAGCATAAGGGAGATGTGTAGGACGCCATTTATTTATTTATTTCCATTTAATTTATATACCACCAAATAGCCAAAGTTTACTGGGTGTTTCACAGTGATCACAAATCATAAAATAATAAAACAAAAATATGAATTCATTAGATACAGCATAAAATTTCAATATGCAAAATGTAAAACAGTTTAAATAGCTAAAACAAGTTCAGTTAAAAAAAAACCAGCTAGATCAGTTAAAACAGCTTACATGTGTGATGATATGCCTGGGAGTATAAGACAGTCTTAACCATGATCTGAAAAGATCGCTAAGTTGGCATCACACAGGCTTCAGTGGGGAAACCATTCCATAACCACCAAGAAAACCCTTTCCTTGTTGCCCATTGGATATTTGGAGATATGAGGAATTTCTCAGATATAGAGCATAGCATCCGAATAGATTCAGGTTGGGAAAGGCATTCTATCAGATATTGTGGCTCCAAGCATCTAGGGCTTTAAAGATTAAAACCAGTACCTTGAATTGAGCTTAAAAGCACACTGGAACCAGTGCAGGTAGACCAGAATTGGCCTTATAGTTATTAATCTGGCCGCAGCATTTTGCATAAATTGTAACTTTCAGGTAGTGCCTCATAGTGCATTGCATTGAGTCAAGCACTAATGTAAATGTTAAAAAAAACATAGGGCACAAGATAGAAACCTCTGTGACCTCATAGCATAAATGCCATGGAGCCAAGTAGTAGTGTCCCAACACTGTCTTCTAGAATCAGCCCTTCCAGTAGAAACATAATCTCCATGGCTTGAACTTCCAGCCCAGCAAGAATACTGTGTTTGATGACACCAAAAGCCACTGAAACATCCAGAACTAGCAAGATCTCATTCTCTTAGGTCACTTTTTGGCATGGGACATTCGTCAACACACCACACTATTAATTCATAATAACCTCTCTTTGGCTATACCCACAATGCTAAAACATATTACCACTTCCTCACATTATCTTAAATATGCTGATAATCCTTGTCTTGGCCTTTTTAATGTTCCTCTGAAATTTTTCTCAGTAAACCTAACAATTGATCCTTCCAAAGATCTGCCTTCCTTGACCTCTGATGTAGTTGACAATACTGGATTCATCCCCTTTACAAACCTCAGTTATATATAGGTCCTTATGACTCAGTTTTAGTTGTGGTTTTTCCCATGATAATCATAGCATTCTGAGTTTATTTGTTTATTTATTTATGACATTGTGAGAGAGCAGGAGGGGAGAAGGCCAGCAAACAAGAGATTACTATAGTTTAGAGAAGACCATTGTGTGGATAAGTGAAAATTATTTTGGTGATGATGAAAAGAAAGAAGTGGCAGGATTTGACCAGCACCTTACATATGCAAGGATAAACATTAGTCAAATATGTGACTATATTATCATAGAAAGCAACATGGAATTATGAGAGAATATGTTTCATTTCTTTGCTATGTTGAATTTAGTATGTTGTTAACACTTCCATACTCAAACCCAAGATAATTTCCCCCTTCAAAATGCATGTGATAAAATGGTATTTTGAAAGGGTTCCCATGCTAGTACTAAACTTTAAAATATTTTTTATAGTCTTACTGTGGTGTTATTTTCACATGATGTTGTGGTTCTGCCAGATAATCTGTCTGTTAATTTAGCTCTTACAGGTTGGGATACTGGCTAATTCAGATAGATTATTCTGTTGTCTTCCTGTTGCATTGAAATACAGTAGGAACAGATAAAGGAAGAAGCTATTACGTTTTAAATAGTTGTATAAATGAAGAAGATGTTATTGTAAAGATCTTGCTTTGCATTTATCAGAACTTAATTTCCTTTCCAGGCTAATGGATATAGTTTTATCAATATTGATCATGGACAAGCAGTATCCTTACTAAAGACTTTTCAGAACACAGTGGAACTCATCGTTGTTCGAGAAATTTCTTAAATACTGTGGAAGAAGGGGAAACATTCATGTGATCCTTTGAAAAACTTGTGGAAACTGAATATTTGGAATATTTTTATATACAAAAACTTTTAAAATTATGTACAGTGATAAAATAATGAACTTGTGGTTATAAGGGGGAAACCACTGTAAAAAACCCATAATGAAACAGTTTTGAAAATGCATATGGTAATAGACCTTGTTGAGTTTTAAAGCATTGTAGCAATCAAATATCACTCCTCCAAGAACAAACCTGTGGTGTATTTTGTACAGATGGTAGGTTTATTTTTGGATAATTCATACGCATTACTAAACGTCATGTACAAGGAGCCTCCATTGTAGCCAGTGGACAGATGGCAGGGCTTTCTGTCCTGTAGCTGTTGCCTTTTTTGTTCACCTTGTTTTAATGTCTTTGTTGAAACCACTTCTGTAGATGTGGATAAGAGATTTGGCATGTTGGCTTTGCTATGTGCATATTGTATAGAAGAATGGGTAGATGGAATGTGTGGCTGGCTGGATGAATTAAAAGGCCAGGTAAAACGGTTATGAAAGTATGGAATCAGGAAAGAGGGGGAAATGCGAATACACAAGAATGTATATCTACCAGTAGAAAAAAAAGCAATGCAATAAAATGTGAAGTCTTTTTAGAAAGACTCTAAATACACTTTTTGGAGGTCTACAGGATTGGCTTTTACCACATCCACTGATTGTCTTATTTCCTTTGCATAATGAAATTTTGAGTGTTTGTTTTTAATCACACAATTTTTTTCATCTGCTATGGAGTTGTACCGAGAGACTGTTCTCGGTTATGAAAATCCCTAGTTTTGTGCAAAAAGGTGATTTTCTTCTGCCTTGTATTAAATACTCCATATTCAACTTATTTATAGATTTTTTTAAAAAATGAAACTGAAATGGCCAGTTTTTTTTACTGTGTTACCTGAAACTCATCACATATTTATATATCACACACATGCATGTTCCAAACCTCTATTATTCTGCCAGAAAATGCTTCATTCTTTTTAATGGGGCTGATGGCAGTGAGCCCTCTGAGGATTGGGCTGCCCAGGAGTAAATGGTTCAGGAAGGGTTAGAAAGAAGTTTTGATTTTGTTTGGCCTTGAATTGCCTTGTTAGATTAAAAGGAAATACTGACCTGGTTCACATGATACAACAGCCAACTTGGTTAATTTACTCACGGGAGCTGTTACCTTGTGTTGGATGTTCTCAAGACAATTCATGGATTGATTTATACTTCTCCGAGGGTTGTTTTACCCTCAGACAGCCCAGCTGCCTGGGTCTGCGTGACAGGCCAAGCAAGAGAACGCCAAGCAAGAGAATGTTGGGTACCCATGGGCACTGTGCACAAATGACATTCATTGCACATCCAACATCAATAGCCCTTACTATTAAATTAACCCACAGTGGGGTGTTATGTTGTGTGAATCAGGTCAGCTAAGTAACCAAAGCCAGTTTTTGTTAAACTGTTGCACAGTGGTGGGAGAATTGCTGTTGGGAAGTTATAGGGCAAAGGGATGGGTACTTGGGGCCCACCAGTTGTAATGATCTTTCTCAAAGGGCTGTTCCTACAGGTGACATTAAATGTGAACTAGACACTTCAGAGTCATTAAAGGGTTTCTAACTATATTAATGTAATACTGTTTTACCACAGGCTGCCTTTGTTCCTTATTGTATAAAATGTTGGATTATACATAATTAATTTTTGTTTATGGCAAACATGTTTATTTTCTTGTTTTCCTTATATAGCAGAGATGAGATTGCCTGACTTACAGAATAAGTAATAAATGGTTATTATGGACCAGAGAAGAGTGCCATAGAAGACCAATAACTGTTTTTTTAAAAGTGAATTATAACCTGTCATTGGAGCAATATTCAGTTACTGCAGTTTTTGATAGATAGAATTAGTAGTTCTAAAAAGATCTACCAAAAACCAGCCTACTATAACATTTGGAAAGACATGCTGGAATAGAAAGCAACCTTCATATTTAACAGGTAGTACTTTCTAAAGAAGCAAACTCCAATGATATTGCACTTCAAAGAAGTTATCAACTGCATATTGTAATATGTATAGTTTTTAATAATTTTAATTGAAACCCTTTAACAACTCTTTGTACATTAATTTTAGTTTGATTTTCATTAATATTTACATAGGAATTGATTTTTATATTAGCAGAAATGTGCTGTATTTTGGTAAAATTCACTTATTTCTGTGTGCCATTAATCTTTAAAAAAAAAAAGAGAAACATAGCTATATAATGGCAGGCTTTAGTGTTACCTTGCTTCTAAAAAGGTTTTTTTTTATTATTTCTTTACTTTTAATTGACAGCTTAAAAATTCACATTCATCATGTTTAATAATATTACTAAACTCAGCCTTTTAAAGTAAACATAAACAGATCAATCCTAATCTGACCGGCAATATAAAACTATAATTATGGGAAGGGCAAAAAAATCCCAAATCAGAACTGATTCTTTATTGATCATGGACTTAATTTGAACATAATACATCAGGTTGAAATACATAAGGCGTTAAAATACATTTCATTTTGTATGAAATAAGCATTATAACTGTGCTGTTAAAATTTTAATTTTGTAGAACAATATTGCCAAGACTGATCATTGTTTGTAGCCAGAATTTAAAGCAAGAAACTTGGTGCTTAGTTTGTTTTCAAGAAATTAGAAAAAATATATTTGAAATGTTGTGGATGGTTATTATCACATGATAAAGGCACATTTTTAAATGGGTTATTCCTTTTGTGTTGGGAAATGGACAAAAGTGAAAGAGGCTGTGAAAGAAGACACTCATTCAAAATTGATGGAAACTATTCTGAAGCCATGGAATTGTAGTATTTCTCATTTTGTCAAATAAGATATATCTGCAAACTTGGTGGATTGGCATAGAATGAATAAAGTGTTTGTCAACTCAGTCTTCTTTTTATGATAGTTCATTAAAGAATCAGTTCAAATGAAAATTCTAGGAAAAAAATCCACATATTTATTGTGTAAATACATGTTTTTTACTTTTTTTTTTTTTACTGGAGTTATAAAATGTGTATATACTTGAACACATCCTATGAACCCGATCATAGCAATAAGCAACACACAGAACCAAGCCTTTATCATTCATTTGCTCTGTACTACCTTTTTAAAAAAAAAGTAACTATGCCCTTGTTAGCACCTATGTAATATTTTTATTGGTCAACATTTATTCAGCATTCCAATTTTTTTGTATATAATTAATTGTTTCTAAAGTAACACATGGAGAATAGATAATAAACTAATGCTCTATAAAGCTCTTTCATGTCACATCTGTCTGGATTTTTCTAAATTGTTGAAACATTCCCCTCTGATAGTTAAATTACACAATTCTCAGATTTTTCTCTATTCAAAAAATAAATTACCAGGTTATGTAAATGGGTAATCTAAGTTAATGCATAATTACACACTGGCTGACTGAGAAGTCCTGTTCTGTATTTGCAAGGATGATTTTGATCGGTTAATGAAACAGTAACTTGACTTTCATCAAACCCAGTGGTAGTCAACTGTTGCTATAGGGTGACTGTTCTGAATCTGCTAGTATAGTGCTTTACACCATGGCGATTCAATCTTCTGACAGTTTTTCAGGCCCAAACTCATCAACACCTCTGGTCTGTGGAGCCACTAGGCAAAATCCAACATGAATCCTATTTGACTCCCAAGTTCTATTCATCTCACTGGGTCTACTCCAAGTAGAACTTATATTGGGTTCGCACATTGTATCTGCAACACTTATTCCACCATGAAGCATTTCAAAATCAATTCCTTGTCATCCTGCATTGTAACAAATCTAAAGTAATAACTGAAGTGTTATGGCAAGTTCAGTTTGTGCAGGCTCCAGTCCATGTGCAGTGTTCCAGAAATTAGACTAAGCTGCCCCAAGACAGTCCTGCTTTTGTTCATTAAGTTCAGTGTAGAGATAAATGCCATAAAACCTAGTTTCCAGGATACAACCTGCAGCCAAATATTTCTGCCTGTCAAATAGATCCACACCCATAATTCCAGTTGGTGCTGTCTTTTCTGTGTTGTGGCCACATAAGAGGCAAGTACTAGAGACTACTGGGACAATGTAAGCATCCTGTAGAAAACTTTGATAGCAATCTTGGAGGATTGATGTCCCAATCTTAAAAAAAAAAAATCACATCTACAGCTTTCATTAGTTCACTCTTGTTAGGGTAGTTATGTGAGCATTGGCTCACTTCTTAAAAGGTGATTCTTAACACTCGTTCTCTTGAACCAGTTAGCCTGTGGGAGAAGAGGGTGATACATTACAGAATGCTATACATTAAGTCCCATGTGTGTTACAATGTAGTTTACCCCAAGTAAGTGTGTGTAGGATCACAACCAATTAAGTCTCATCCAAGTGATGATACTGCTTTTTCCTAAAATCTGTCAGACTTACTTTCTGTTCATCAGGGACCTTTTTTCTTGCAAGTTTCTGTTCTGAAACGGGAGAAACATCAGCAAAAAAGCAGAATTCCATTTTCAGATAAACTCATGCCCTTTTCACCTAAGTGTTGTTTAGATAAAAGAAGAATGCCATGATTTATACTATTCCTCTGGGATCTAGTTCATTGTACCCCAAGAACCACTTTCTCCAAACTTACATGCTGCAGGAGTGTTGGATTATAGTACCCATCACCCTAATTAGCATAGGCAATGATGAGGTCTTTAGTCAATACCAGGAGAATTCCAGGTAGGAAAAAGTTGCCTCAGCTTTTCTAGCTATATTCATGTTCTAGGGAGTTTTGACTCCAGTAAACACTCTAAACAATAGGACACCATGGTTTAAGAAAAATTGCAGATCCTTTGCTCCCTGCAAATCTGCCTCTAATAGACTTCCCTCCTTATACATTTCTGTTTACTTAGTGGAAGTGTTGTCACCTGATTTAAAGAAAAGATTTAAATAAAGTTCAAGTTTATTCACATGTAGCCAATTCTAGGGGAAAACATCCTGTTTTCATATAACAGCAGACTCTTCGAAGATGCATTTGTCTCTAAGAGTATATTTAAAACATACCAACTAACTGCAGTTTTTATCAAAGAATAATAAAAAACACTATGCAATCCAATTCACAAGGCATCGCAATTGGTCAAAATTAAACCAGTTAATTAGCCAGGTAATCAACTAACCATAAAATCTGGATTGCCATGAGGCTACAAACATGGAGGCTGACAGAAGAAAACCCAATCATTTTAGCAGATAAAGACATTGAAAGATATGGTTCTTATCCTTACTATTAAAAGACTTAGGTGTTGTAAGGTAGTAAGTTCAGCTAGCAGATGGACTGGAAGCACCACTAGATAAAGATGAAATAGCATGCTTGCCATAAGGGAATCAGGTGAGGTCTGACACTAGTGCAGGGTGGAGGGGAATACGTACTTCTCATTTTCTGGAAATAATACCTCTAGTTCTGCATTCCAAAATAGTGTTAGCCTTCTTTTGCAGCTGCATCACATTGCTGGTTCATATTTAGCTTGTTGTTCACAACAACTCCAAGGTCTTTCTCTTTTTTTAGTGCTGTTGAGCCAAGTATTTCCCATCACCCCCCACCCCCAACTTGCTATGTTTCTATGCTTATAGTTACATGAGGCCCACATTTTGCTTATCAGGATGTCACAGGACACTTTGCTGAAGTCTAGGTAAATTATGTCCCCAGCATTTCCTCTGTCCATTTGGGTGGTAACCCAGTAAAAAAATGAGATTAGGTTACTTTGGCATGACTTATTCTTAAGAAATCTGTGTTGGTTCCTGTTCATCACTACATTTTCTTCAAGGTAACTTGCTCCAGTATTTTCCCAGGGATTGAAGTTGGACTGACTGGTCTATAGTTCCCACATTTGTCTTTCCTCCCTATCTTATAGATGGGGTCAACATGAACTCTCCCCCAACCATCTGATGCTTCCCGTTTTCCAGGATTTCTCAAATACTATATATCATGGATAAGAGAGAGCTTCCACCAGCTCCTTTAATACTCTAGGATGGAGCCCAACAGATCCTGGAGATTTGAATACATTAAGCTCATCAAGATGCACCTTGACTATTTGCCAGTTGATCTTAGGCTGCCATCCTTCCCGTTCATCTTGCATTTCCTCCTCTGTCGGTAGGACACATTTTCTTCTGTGAGAGAAGACTGAGCAAGAGTGGAGCACTCCTGCCTTTTGCTTGTCATCTATTATCTTTTTGCCATCCATGTTGAGCTGTTGTACATCCCTCTATCTATTATTTTGGACAAAGCTGAAAGTTTTCTTGTTCTTAGCAAGTCTCACTGGTTGCATTTCATAACTTGCTTTAGCCTTCCTAACTCTATTCCAACAAGGCTTTGCTGTCAGTTTCTATCCTTTTAATTGAAGAGCATAATTATAATATAATATAAAAATAAGATTATGGTTTAACTGAAACAATGACTATTTCTATATTGGCACCTTTATGTATTAATTAGCATATGCATAGAATAGCAATAGTTAGGGCTTATACGTCCATCGAACCCAACCCACTGCTCATGCAAATCGGCATCCTCTTTTGTTGGTTGCGCATATCCTTTTTTAGCAATTCATAAACAGCCACGCTACATACACTGCCAGTCCACCAGGACTGATGGACCACATGCATTAGCAGGCTTGCCTGCCTCTCACCGCTTCATCAGAATTAAACCACCAAGTCCATTTCCGGCGCCTCGACACCAGGGGGAATTGGCCTCCTCGAGTGCCCTGCAGCGTATGGGCGCTCTTGGAAGCGACGTCATTTTTTCTCTATGGTGACTTCCGTCTCCTTGCCTATGTGCGTTAGATCGCCCAGACACCGAACTTACGGCCGCCATCATGATGAACAGCGGTGGGATCGGGGTGCCGCTCGGCTTCCCTTTGACCCCTACTTCGGTAATCCAAGTTACCAATTTATCTTCGGCGGTCACTAGCGAGCAGATGCGAACGCTCTTCGGTTTCCTAGGTGACATCGAGGAACTGCGCCTCTACCCTCCGGAGTAAGTGAGGCCCAACAGGGCCCTCAGGGCTATAGAGAATGGCGGGAATGACAGTCCTGAAAGGGAAGGGGAGAGTTAAAAAAAATCCGGATGCCATGGCAGCCATTTTGCTTTTGGGCGTTAAGCGACCTGCTTCATGGTGGCTGCGCTGTTATGCCGCATCGGCTCTATGCGAGGGAGAATTGCCCGGAGTTAAGATGGTGGCAGGTGACGGTTTCCTCCCCTCCCCCTCCTTTCCTCCCTCTCCTTTCTTTGCCCGGAGCCTATCTCGCCTTGATCGTAGTTTATCCGGTCTTTCTCTCATCTTCTGGGCGATGATGCTAGGAAACGCCGCGGGTGTTGAGGCCTAGTGTTCCTCTGGAACAAACCGGGGCCAGGACTATTACAGGCTGTGAAAGCCTTTCGCCCCTCCTCAGCGTCTGCATTTAGTAAAGGACGCCGTAGATAATCTCTGGTTCCCTGTTACTTTTCCCTCGAATGACTTTATCTCATTGCATTGCAATTCAGATAAAGAAATCGGGGTTTAGTCCCCTTATTTCCAAATAAGTATGCATAGGATGGGGCTCTAGGAGGCTTCAGTTTGGACAAGATTGTTAATTATTAGTGAAGGAAAGTTTCCTTTGCGATTGTCTCAGTTTAATAGTCACTCCCCCGTTTTTTAGTTCTTTCTCATATATATATTTTAAAGAAATAGCAGGGATGCTTGGCTATTGTGTGTAAACCTGAATGGGATACCAGCAGATTAATTTCTTAATATGGTAACTAGCTTCACAATCTTATATGTTCGTGGTGCAATCTGTATATATGTCTAGACAAATAAATTCTTCAAGTGGTATTAATAATAATAAAGCTGATTGGCACATGCTGGGAGTTGTAGGACATTTCTATCTAAAAATATATAGGATTG